ACTTCATGTTCTTATGTGTGAACCAAATACAGTCAAACCCGTTTATAACGAACAGTAGGAAACACTATGATCAGTTCGATAGAGCAAGTAATTCGATAGAGCAGAAATCATTTCCAACGAATTTCCACGATCCATTCGTTGTAAGGCGAGAGATTCTTTTCCTTTCTCATCTCTTCGCTTCCGCCTTGTAACAACGTGCTGGAAAGTTTTTTTTTTTTGCATGCGTGCAGAGTTTGTTTTTTTAGTTGATCTCTTCTTCTGAATCGCTTATCTTCGTGGGCAACCATTATGGGATGAAAGTTTTTTTTTTTTTTTTCTCTGCGTGCGTGCAGGGTGTAGTTTTTAGCTTTCACCCCTTCTGAATCGCTTCTGTATGCTCAATTTTGTTCGCAACTTGAGCTTCTGGAATTTTCTTTGTTTCCCATTTTTTTTTTTTTTTTTTTTGGGGGGGGGGGGGAAAGGAAAGGCTAGAAGACGATTGTTTGTTGCTTTTTTGGAAGCCTTCCGGGGGGGGGGGGGAGTTCGATATAGGCAATAATTCGCTGTACGTGGGTTCGTTCTAAATGGGTTTCGCTGTATATATGAGGGAATATCTTATGAAATTGCCAGTTGTAGGAGGCAAGTGGCATAGCTATAATTGAAATAATAGCTTCTTTAACCCAAGTGGAGCCAAATGGTGCTGACACTGACCTCTTTGAAGCACAAGGTGAAAATGGTAAACTTTATAGCTGAGTGATCACATAAAAGGGCTGGAACAGAAGTATTCTGACTGACCACTTGGGTCCAAGTGGTCTTCTTGCTGTAACCACTTTGGTCTTCTGACTGACCACTTTGAAGGGAAATGGAAGCACTTGGGGCCAAGTGGTTTTCTGACTCCAACCACTTGGGAGGCAAGTGGTCCGCAGTCCAAGTGGAACCACTTTAACCAAAGTGGTTTTCAAGTGGAACCTCTTGCTGGCAAGTGGGACCACTTGCAAAACCACTTTGAATTTTCGCCTGGGCTGGTTAACAGCCTACTGTCAGAAAAACGTTTTTGCTCGCGCCCTCACGAATCTAGTTGCTACAGTTGCTCACTGGACCGTTGCCTTGCCGCAATCAACCCCTAGCCGGCCAGAAAGCATGGGAGCCCCAGTTAGCCCCGCCCCTGTCCTTCCGTTGCCGGGCGCACTGGTCCCTGAGTTGTTTTGCCTCCAGTCTCCTTTATGTGCTGCCATTCCCTTCCTTCGTGGTATTCCTCTCCCGCGGCAATCGAGAGGAGCCACCTCAGCCTAGACGTGAAGTAGTCCCATGTCCGCCTAGTGTCGGTGTGACATTTCACCATGGCAGTGCGCGCCAACCAAACGGCCTGTAGACCCAGCAGGACGATTGCCGGGGCTCCTCCGAGGTGCAAATACTTAAAGGTTATCCACTCGACTTCAAAGTCCTGTCCAAATGCCACCCCGAGTTCGTCCCAGAAGAGGTACGCGTTTGAGCATTCGACGAAGACGTGTTGTATCGTCTCACTCGAGCCACACAGGTCGCAGTTCGTAGACGGAACGAAAAGAAACCTCGCGTTCAAGGTGGAGTCGGATGAAGTCCGCTTAGAAAACTCGTTGCAAACATTCGTTTTATACGAGTTTCGCGTAGTGCGTATAGCCATTTCCGGCCGGAGTGCACTACGGAGTGCGTATAGCTTTACTCATCAGGGAATGACTCTATCGCAGATCGGAGCTTAACACCTACTTCCTAAAGCTCTGTAGTACCAGACATGAAGTGTGCGAGTTGAAAGACATGTCAACTCAAACTTTAACTCTTGTCCACCTTAATCCTGCCGACGAGTCGTACGGAGAGGGAAAAGTAAGGATTTTTCATTGTTGCCAGTAGAGTCGCCTTTTGGAACTTCTGCGGCCAGCGTAATTTGAGAATTCATTAGCACAAGAGAAATTTTATTTTCATAAAATATTTTGGCTATCAGTTGATAAAGGATTATTGAGACTATGGAGAAATCATGCACTCCGAGAGTAATTCTGCAGATGTGTGTGCATCTATGCATGTCAGCTGATGCTGAAGCAGTCGTGAAAGTATTTTGCTGAAAAATCTAAGCGCACTTTCTTTACCTAAAAGTAACCCGTGTATCAAAAATAGCCATAACCAAAGTGTTCTATGGTACCACGCCAGGACTGCAGCTGAAGACCATGTCACCTGGTGGCACCACGTGGTGATTATGGTAGAGCACATCCTCGTAACTACAGCAAGTTATGCATAAATGGGAGAGGTCACACAAGGTATAGATACAAATTGTACTACTCCTTATACACCGACACGCGGGCTTGACGTCACGGCGCTGCGGCGGCGCTGCGATCGCGCCGGAGCCGGGGGGTGTGGGCAAAAGCGCGCACGTTTCTCATGGGCGTCATAGCATTTCAGCATGCCGCGAAGCTGTCTTGCCCTTAATCTCACCGAAATGTGCAAGAAAAGTAGCGGAGTGAGCTTCTACATGTTCCCGGCAAACTCTGAAAGGCATAGAAGGTGGATAATATCCGTGGATCGAAAATTATGGTCGCCTTGCGCGCGAACGACCGTTTGCGCGGCAACCACTTTCTTGGAGGCAAATGCGGCTTCCATTTCAATCTCCGTCCCGAGGCTTGCTTATGTGCAGGGAAACCGTCGTCTGATCGAGACCACCCGGAGTTTGTTGCCACGGTGTTCGCGCACAAAGCACCGGCCAAGCGCTCGTCGGAGGCTCGCAACGCCCGTGCTACCAAGCAGGAAGGGATCGGCAGCAGAACGGCAGTGTTGTAGGCGTTACCGAAAAAAAGTAACGAAATACGTTACTCGTTACTTACAAATGAAAGGTACGCGTTACTGAGCTACGTTGCCTAAAAATAAAATTAACGCGTTACCGCTACCGATAAAAAGTAACGCACGTTACTTCTGCGTTACTTTTTAAATTAAGATTTAAGACGTTTTACGGTTTTGACGATACAGGTATGCATAAGCTCATATATCAAGAAACATTCTGTTCATGCAGAAACTGAACATAATTACTCTATCTCTTCTTACGGTTTCACCCAAATACTCACGAGAAAAAAACGCAAAGAAAAACATAGCTTGACGCCTAAAAACACGGAAAAAATTGAAGTGTAATTGTAGTAACGAGTAACGAAACTACGTTACTTGAAATAGTAACGTACGTACGTTACCAGTTACTATGTCAAAAAAGTAACGAGTAAGTTACTACGTTACTGAAAAAACTAACGCGTTCCTGGTAACGCCGTTACTTGTAACGTGTTACCGCCAAGGCAGCAGAACGGACAAAGCGTTACTGCTTGTCATGCCTTGTGGTCATGAGAGTAGGAAGAATAGCATACCTTGACTTGAAGACGCTGTGTGCGTTTATTTAATTAATAAATACACTTCCGCGGACCCACAGTCTGCTGATTTCGCCGGCAGTGCGGAAACCGAATCGAAGTAATCGTAGGCCTCGAGAGACTTATACGCCTGCTCCGTGTCGGCCGTAAACCGGCTGGGCGAAAGAACTAAATAAACGACGACGTGAGCCGTCGACTTCGGTGGCAGCAACTTCACGTCGGAAGTCCAGCAGGCCTTGTTTACGGCGTACGGATCCTCGTAGGCAACGCCGTCCACTCACAGTTTGTCTCGATACCGCCGCCGTTCAGGCTCGGGTAGCGAGCTCAAATTGTCGGCCATAGCATTCGACATGCGTTGCCAGGAAACACGACTCACAAATAAAGCTAGAAGCGTCTCTACAACGTCAACAACGAGCGCACGCCATACAACGCAATGGCGAAAACACGGAGAGCCGGGTTGCTTTTGCCCACATAGCTACCGCGCATGCGCGGCCTTCCGGCCGTGTTGGTAAACAGAGCCGCTCCGCGTGTCGGTCTATACTTATGTTCCCTGAGGTGAAAATTATGCCGGGGACACTGTTTGTCCTGGTATAATCCATAGATCTGTTTTAGCAAAGTTAATAGAAGGAATAATCTTGACCTGCACACATGATTGATGATTCTTGATCTATAAGTCACAAACAGGCTGCTTGCATGTTTTAAAAAAGCTTTTTCTGCTTTCTCAGAATTCAATTTTTTGTCACACAAAATATTTTGCTCATAGTATCTTTCTCTAAACTTTGAATTTTAATACTTTTATCAGGGTTTAATACTCGATAAACCAGAGTGCAGCAAAACTAATACTTCTGGAAAATGTTACCTAAAATATTTTCTAATTGGCAAAAACTTTAATAACTCATTTCTAATCGTTGGCAAGAAAATTCAGCTCATGACAACTTTTTCTTTTTTTTTTAGAATGATCCTTAACTTGTAATGGTGGTTTCGTTGTACTTTCAACTCTTTGCAGAGCATGATGATTTGTGGCATTTTTTATTATTGATATCGTAAAACAGTTGGGCGGAAACATTTGTGATAAAGTTGAAGCTTTCTTGAAAACTGATATGAAAACAATCACTTACGTTTGTGCTCAGAATAAACATTTATAATAGATGTGGAAATTTAAAATAAAATTAGCTTGGAAATGACACAAAAATGTTGAAGACCAAGCTCACCCCTCACTGAGAATACGGCCATTTTACAATAAGCGCCCACGCCTGAATTTTGTAACATTAGGAAAATACACAAAGGGCATATCTTTACATAATGTTGACCTAAGGAGCACCCATTCCCCAGTTTTACATGTTTATCTCCAAAACTTGAGTGGGCACTTGCTCGGGACTTTATGGCAGTGAAGTCTTGGCAAAAGTCATATATCAAAATTAAATGCATAGCTTCTGGAAAGTTGGGTTTAGCAGAATTGCACGCTTAAGAAACTTGACTTGTTAGCCCTTGCTAATCTAAAACCCTTGCTAATCTTTACAAAGCATGCCTACCTGTGGTGTTATGGTTATCCTTTATCAGTCTATCACCAAACAAATTCTTCTTGGTCAAAGGTGAACGGCTGAGGAAATGTGTTGCAATTTTTCTGGAGAAGTTGCTTTTGCTCCAGTATCATTTGAAGAGTCCAGGTTTATTTGCTACATTGGACAAGGTTGACAAAATTCTGGCTCCACAGATATCAAGCACAATTTCAAAGAAGCTTGAACCATCAACAGCACTAACAAACATTCTTGTTAGAGCAATGACATGATATAGTCCATCATCCAATTTGAAAATGGTATTTTTGTCAACACCATCTTGAGATTGCGCAGACATGCAACCTACCAATAGAACTTATTCGAGGCGTGCAGCGTCTGCAGCACCAAAAGGAATGTCGGGAACGCTAGGCACAACTGGTTCTAGCAGACGACAAAGCCGACCTTGGAGGCAACTGCGAGCAACTCCAATACCCTCTCACTCTCTATAATGTCCGATGGCGGACGCTGTGGTACAGGTCTATTAAGTTGCAGGGCTCTTTGGTAGAAAGGAGATTCCTTAATGCATAGAAACCACTTGCACAGCATATCACGAGAATAAACGGAACACAACATAATCAGCACACTCTCCTTTGTTGAGCACCACAAAAATGGGAGCCACCTGCTTCCATTTTGGGACTTCTATGTGAAGAAGAACGTACCAAAATGTTCATTATCTCATGAAACAAATGAAAGTCAAATTTTTTTGGGGGAAAACTTTATGTAAAGGTGTTTGCACCAACATCCAAAAATACTGCAACATTTTAGGCAATAAATGAGTTGCACACAATTAATGGCATACAGATCTGCCTGAAGAATTTCAGACTTTTAGCCAAAAAGGACAATTCGTCTTGGAGCATGAAAACATCCTGAAATGTTGCCTCCTAGCAAGCTGGCAATGCAAACATGATGTTATGTAGTTCCAGAATTCGCTCATACACCTGCAGGAAGAAAAACAAAAACAGTTCAGAAAGATTTTTAGAATATTTTTTTTTCCAATGCTGTGGGTGAGCTTTACTTATTCACATATTATGCACATGCTCCCCCAAAACAATTTACTTTTATCTGCAGAAATAGACTATGCAGTGCCGTATAATCAGTCTTAGACCAAACATAGTGCTAGCAGTTCGGACCAGATGGCAGTTCAGAACGAACCATTATCTTATTAAGAAGTTGCAAGTGATTTTCTGAACAGTTTCTGAAACTCAATGGAAAAATGGGGTCCATTCCCAGTAGCTGACTCCATCCACCTCCATGTATCTGTGGGCTCAGGGGTGTGGGCTAGCCCACACCAGCTCGGAGCACGTGGAGCGAAAGCTTGTGCTGCAGAATCCAGGGATCCTGGGCTCAATCCCCATCCCTGCCCGTTTCAATCTGGATGAGCATCGTACCGGCGTACAGTCGTGCATCACTACTGCGTGGTGCACGTTAAAGACCCCAGGCTGGCAGTTGTACTAGACTGGCTAAATTGTTCATCTACAGCTGAGACACCAGACGCCTATTGGGGCTGACTAACTTCCAACTGTATAAACATACATACACACAAGACAATTACTGTGTCTATTTAATCGATCCGGAATAAATCGTAGTAACTCTCCTTAGATGAATATACATAGGTGCTTCGCACTTGATTAGCAGGCTTAAAGGGCAACTCCGCTCAATTCCAAAAAATCTAGGCTTGCATGTGATTCCATTTCACAAAGCACTACTAAACAGCTCTACATCTTCGGATTTGCGAAATGTGGAATAATATTTGTGTAATCTTAATTTAAACATCAGCTGATACCGAAATTGAAACTTCGGTTGCGTCAGGCAACATTGGTCTCGAGTTGTCAGAGTCATGGCCACGTCACGTCGAACCACGTGGTCTTGTGACGTTCGTGGGGGCGAGGTACAGGACACGCGACGCGGGATGGCCCGGGGGAGACGGGGAAGGGAAGAAGACGAAAGAGGAGAGGGGGAACGAAGAAACAGACCGATAAGCGCGCAAGGCAGCGCAAACTAGCTCATCCGCGTTACGGTGATCACGTGGACGCCGTTGAGCCAACAGCAAGAGGAGAAACCCATGACGTCATCGTTCAATTTCGCTCTGAGAAGTAAAAACAAACAAAATGTGAGAATGACGTAGTCATGCCTCTGACGTAGTGGTTCAACGTTTGCCGCTCCAACTCCGTCGCATTAGGGAGTTTTCGTAGATTGTTTGCGCCGTCCCGCAAGGCCCTCGCAACCTGCTACGGTAGCGGGAACTCCACAGTCAAGGCTATCGGCGCGCAGGCGCAGTAGCCACTTCTTCGTTGAGGAACGCTTAGCAGCGGGGGCAGCGCGGTCTACGAAAACTCCCTATGGACTGCGCTGACGATTGCGCCTCACGTCGCAAGCTAGAATTGGCAGATTTCGGCGACTTAGCTCATTTGAAAGTTTGCTGGCCAGTTTATTAAATATATAGACGTAATTAGATCGTAATATTTGACATGGGGTCTTCCTATATGATACTGAAGAGGGCCGCATAGTTTCCTAAATATCAAAAATGAAGCGGAGTTGCCTGCTTTGATGTTGACACAACTACATCGGTTCAGAATTATCTAAACAAACACAATACGGTAGACCACAGGGGCCAGTAAACAAAAATACTCCACTAAATTTAGTGACTCGAAAAAAGAAAAGACGCTTTTTGGTTAGTTTTGGCACAATATTTGCACTTGGGAGCAGGATGGCATGGCGAAAGTGTATTGGCACACAATGGCACGATCGGTGTTGCACTTTGACCCCTGTAGGCTTCGTCGGCTACCATTTTCCCATTGAAACTTTTCGAAAATTGCCCACAACTTTTGAACCGGATAATGGCAAGCTCCGAAACTTTGGCATCTGGTCCGGACAGCTAGCCACTACATTTGGATGAAAGCTGAGCATTCAGCAATGCAGTTTATTTCTTGGGGGACACCCTGTACATATTTGCACTTCTCAAAGACTGCCAATGCAAATTCTGTCTCCGAGATGCTGCCACCACATCAGCTCGTGTGCACTGGGGTCTTCTTTTAGAACTATCAGTATGTGAGTATGTGCCCCAGGTTTATGGAAGCTAATGACCACCATAAAAAAGGAAAAAAAAAATCTGTCATGGTAGTGAAAGGTTGACTCCCTGCTAAGACTGAAGATGCATACACTAATGACTGAATGGGGTCTAGCATCTAAAGTTGACGATAACAGGATACAAGATGAACATGATTTCTTCTTTGCACAATAACAATATAAGCAAGTCAGGTGATGCAGGTACCTTCAGCTCTTTGCCTGAGCAACCACAAGAAATGTGCTCACGATACGCATCAGCATGTAGCAGGCAGCAGAAAAGAACACAAAGCTGGTGGATTGCCTAGAACCTCTGCCAGCGACTTTCATTGCAGCAATTATGATTCTGTAAACCTCTCAATATAAATGTATTCTGCAGATTACTATCACCAGGGGCAACATGAGCAGTATGTTATGCTACATCATGAGGCTCTACACCACCTGACTTTCAGGGGGTCATACAGGTCTTTGGGACAAATAATTCAAGGGTCTAATTTCTAAAATAAAAACAATATGTGTAGCTTTTGCTTCTAGAGCTTTCGTTTTTGTAAATGTCTTACTGCGCACAATACAGAATTCATGAATTGTGTCCCGCCCTTGCACGAAAGCTGCACTAGTGAAAGAAAAGCATTACCGGCTGCATAGTTGGCCTCCTCCGTTTGTCTGGGTCAATGCAGCTTTCTGCGAGTTCATGAACCTTTCTTGCCAGATCCATGTTCCACTCTCCTGCAGACTCATCAAGGGCCGGCACAATGTCATCAGGGTGTTCCTCACTCAAGTAGGACAGCTAAGGAAGCAAATCAAAATGTGAGGAAGTTACGGTTGTTGTAGCTAAACAGAGTAACCAATAACAAAATAAGCTATACCTATAGACCGACACGCTGTTTACAAACAAGCTTGCGTTTGCCCACACCAGGTGTGGGTACTGCGCGTGCGCAGAAACCAAATTCGCGTGAAGTGAGGCATCTGCGCATGCGCAGTGCCGTCGACAGTGCCATCGCAGCTGCCTGACGTCAGGGCCGCGTGTTGGTCTACAGTCGGTGACAGATCAAGAACGAGGTGGTCGCTCCTCCCAACTCTTTCCACTTTAGCAGAGTGAATGCTGGAGTGGAGGCAACCTCCCCTCCATCGTTCACTCTGCTGAAGTGGAAAGGGGTGGGAGGAGCTTCCACTTCGTTCTTGACCTGTCACCGACTATAGGATTCCATGTTTTCTGGTTTTGTTTTAGAGCGCAGCTCTTAGGGGCCCGTTCCCGGCTTGAGCGGCGTCGCCGTAACCAAGGTCATCCCAAGGTCACGTGACCCCTCCCAAGGTCATCTCAAGGTCACGTGACCCCAAGATGACCCCACGTGACCCTTTGAAGGTCACGTGACCCCCAAGTCACGTGGTCGCCTCCCCAAGGTCACGTGACCCCCGAGGTCACGTGACCCCTTCCAAGGTCACGTGACCCCCAGGTCACGTGACCCCTCTGAGGTCACGTGACCCCCCGAGGTCACGTGACCCCTCCAGGTCACGTGACCCCAAGGTCACGTGGGGGTCACCTTTGGGGTCACGTGGCCTTGAGGTCACCCCCAGGTCACGCCTCCCCGAGGTCACGTGACCCCCTCCCCGAAGTCACGTGACACCCCCCCGGAGCATATTAAAGAATGAGGGGAGGAGGAGGAGAAGGGGGAGGGGTCTACCCTCCCCTCAGTACCCTTCACTCCTCCTCCTCAAGAGCTGCGCTCCAATTCGGCGTTACAGGGATTTGTAAACGGCTTTCACTTTTTTCGTTAAATTCGTAGGGTGTTTTTCGAAGTTTTTTTTTGCTGAAAACTTGGGGTTTATTGCGAGTTTATTTTGGTTAGATTCTCAATTCTTTAAAATTCGAAGCTTATTTTACTGCATTCCAAATTTTTAAAAAGTGAAAAGAAACAAAAAAATACAATGTCCAGGTACCATTTTCTCTTGTCTCGAAGGAATCTTGACGAGCCTTTCGCCAGTAGTTCGAAATTTCACAGGAAACTGAAGTGGTATACCCTCAGGACCATTGACTGTACAGCATCTTATAAAGCTTATTTGTAAAACACCGTCTCTTTAGCTTTTTATTTTGTTGTTGTGACCTTAAAATTCCGAGTTTTTCGGATAAATCCGAATTGACGAAAAATTTACCACCGAGTGCTTCAGAAACAGAGGTGCAAGCTTTGGCTGCAGTAGAAGTGGCTCACCTTGTCCAACATTTGCAAAACTACTCTATGTACTCCACGACCCCCGAGATTGTCGCTTTGCGCAAAGCTTTCCCTGGCCGCTTCTTCCATTCTTGACCGTAATGGAGGAAAATGGCTTGTGGTAGAGTGCCAACTGCTTTCACAGCAAATCGCTATACTCTGTTGCAGGTTAAGAAAAGCAGGACTTTCCTTAACCTGCAACAGGAAAAGCAGTACAGGACCTCTTGCAAAGCCCTCCACTTTCCAATTCAGTAGAGCGTTCACTTTGCTAAAGTGGTAAAAGTGGAGGGCTTTGCCTTTCTGTCTGCTTTTCTTAACCTGCAAGAATGTATAGTTTGGCTCCAAGATCGTGCAATGTCGGCCTTTTAAAGTTGTTACTTTACTACTTAATTTTTGTAGCGTCGCAGTATTAAAGGGGTATGGAAACAAAATGTTAATACATTTATTTCCTTGTTTAGATGTGGTCTATGTTGTGCTGACCGCCCAGAAACACTAGCCTAGACCAGTGTTTCTGGGCTGCAGGCAGAGAAGTCAAGAAAATTAATTTTGAAATGAATGAATAGATTTTAAAATTGCGTCTGGTGGCGGTCTGTGAAGCTCCATTAAAATGCCATCACGTCATGAGTTTCTAAGAAGCAGTGCCAGTTTGCGGCAGTATGGCTCTCTCGTGGAGTTATTTAGTCCTGAATGTGGCTTGCCGGAGAGCGTTCATAATCTGAGACTGCAGCCAAAGCTACAAGTGCAAGCTAGCCCGCGCTCCTGGTTTTGAGACATGCATTTCTAGAGAGAGTGCTTGATCGTTCTGCGGAACAACGCTTCAAAGCAGCGAACTCGAGCTCTCATGGCTGTGGCATTGGCTGGAGTCTCAGCTCCACAGTGCTTCTGCAACGTGCATTCAACACAATCAAGATTGCCGTTCTTTGCAGACGTTAGGTAGGAGCTTGATCTGAGGATGTGGGGACCTCCGTCAGGCCAACCATACGCCATTGTTGGGTACTGATGGTCATTTCTACTTACCGGTTTCCTCGAGCCACTACTTCTGCAGTGCGAAACTACCATGGTGAAGCGAAAGCTCACGGCACATAAAATACCGGCATGGCCGCTACTGACGTTACGGGCAAGCTATGTATAGGCCATAGGGCGTACAGCCCTTGGATATTACTACTAGGCGAGATTGTCACATGCTGATGCCACCAAGCGGCAAGGCTCGCAGCTACAGTACCGTTGACCGTGCGAAAGCTATTGATGTCACAAGCGCAATACGGATTGCGCTTTTCGCTGGCCCACTTTGAAGCGAGGGGTAGAGAGCTCACGTCATTTTGTTTCCGTACCCCTTTAGGAAAAGTGGCTTTTGGCCACTGGTACCGTGCAGTGCCACTCGTTGCCTCGGAGGGATCACGCACTTGGAACGCAAGCCCCGAGGCTGAGCGCACGGTACTCCGCGAGCAGTGATTTTCTCGTAAAGCACTGCCACCTCTGGGTGGCACATTCCTTCTACTGGGCAACCAAGCATTTGTAATGGCTGTGGGAAGCTTTGCTCACTGGTAAGAGATATTTCAAATATAAGCAAAGGACATATCAAGCACAGGCCCAAGCAAAACTTCTGACCACCACCCCCCCCCCCCCCCCCCCCCCCCCGACCTAATTGAAGTGTTTCTCTGCGTCGGCTGCTTCTTTGAGAAGCCAGTGCAATGCGGGGAAGCTTTGTGTGTGTGTGCCGGTGTGAAGAGGCGAAGCTTGACGTTAGAGTGCCAGCGCAAAGCAGTCGACGAGAGCAGCGTGGCTGCTTTATAAATGATGGGTTCCGCCGGGCCCTTGTACTAATCCTATACTGCTCCGTGAGATCAAACAAGGGCCTACCCCCCCTTCCCCTCGAGGGTGACCAAAACAGCTGAGTCAGCTCTTCTTTTCCTTCAATAGTGTCTTTTGGTGTTGGTCGTCGCTGGGGGCGTGTCCCTCCACACTTCTGGCTTCACCTCTGGTGGCCTCATGTCGCTTCCAGAAGCTTCCTACTTTCATAGGCCTACCCTACCATAGGCTTGTCTGCTTTTCTGCTCTCGAGCCTAACAAGCATCCATACATATTTCTTCGTAGTTTTCTCTAACTTATGGAGGGGAGCTTGTTGGGTATTTTACGGATTACGACGCATTTATAAATGGTAATGCATTGTATAATTAGTGCTGCGAATATAGATCAGCTAAAATATGTGCGAGAACCAAACTACTTGTATTCCGAAATATGAGCTCTTAGCTTTGGTGAGCTCCTCCTTATGATTTCGTGTTTCCCATAGTAATAATTAAAAACGAGTGGGTTGGTGAATAGATATGAATACTTGAAGTGGTAAAACATCGAGGGCGAGGCCAGAAACAGGACTTCTTTCAATTTTTACGTGGGAAAATCCTTCAAAGGAAGGATTACAATTCTTGGACTTACAGTTGCATTCTCATTCCTCAGGTCTTTGTTGGGCCTTCCAGCAGAGATCAGAGAAGCTAGTCCTCCCTTTCACCAGTGCTCACTCCAAGTCAGTTAAGCATGGCATAGTGAGGCCACTTTTCAAGTCCACACCCTTCAAGTCGTGTGCGCATTTCTTCGAAAGTAGCCTCAAGTTGCAGCATCATAGGTTGGAAAAAGCAGGCTTTCCTGCAGACCTACTTCGTTCCACTCTTGAGAGATTCATTCTCAGCCCACAACTTCCGCAAGCTTTTGCCAAAAAGAAAGGTTGTTTTGCTGTGATTCCCTACATGCACGAATCCGCGCACCGTGTAAGATCTATCACGTCCAAGTTCGACACAACGTGGCTTTTTAAACACGCCAAAAAGTTTGTGAAGTGTGAAGAGAGAATGGTTTATTCAATCCCGCTAAGCTGCAGCAGTCAGTACATCAAACAAACTAGGAGGTGCATTAATTATTGACTCAGAAAACACAACTTGCAAGCATCAAAGGCTTCAAATGAGTCTTTTCACCCAATCGTCGTTCACAGCCGTACGTGCGATAACTGTACTCCTTCTTTCTCTGATACTAGAATACTGGGCAAGCACAACAACAGATTTGAGAGAGAAATCATTGAATCCTTTGACAAGGGGACTGTCAACAACATTTCTTTACCTTCATTATCACTGGCAAAGACAGGTTGAATTCTTAAAACCAGAGATGACCAGATTACTGATACCTCGTCGTGACGCCAGCGCTTTTTAAAGTTCTATATTTATAGCAAATTCCCTTTCTTTTTTAACAATTTTCTCCTATCCTTTTTCAAGAACGTTGAAACCTTTGGGGGGCGGTTTTATATTTTGTGCCATTCTATGTTGTTGGTCATGAAAGAAGTCCTGTTTCCATCCCCTTCCTCAGTGTTTTATCCTTTCAAGTATTCATATTGCTTCCTATATTTTTCGTGTTCTGGTATACCCACTGACCTTTTGTTGTTAGCCTTCCGCGGTACAGGAGGGTCCCCACCCCGACGCCAACAGAAATCGGAGTACTGAGATTCCCTACTCACAATGTCTCTGGCATGCCCTCTACTGGAAATATAGAGTGGCAGTGCAGTCAGTATCTCCATGATGACAACACCAAAACTATAGGTGTCCATTTTAGGGGAGACGACGCCACGGAAGGCTTCTGGAGCCATGTAAACTGTGGTTCCAACAATTTCTGTGACGGCGGTGGCGTTTCCGGCCAGTACACGTGTGAGGCCAAAGTCCCCCAACTTGGCACTCCAGTGTTCATCCAGCAGCACATTTGCACTGCGAAAGAGGCAAGCATGCAACCTACTTTAGGACTTCTCAATGGATGCAGAGGACTGTGCTCATTGTCACTAATTTATTTTCTTAAGAAATTATTTTAATAGAGAGATATATTTCTTAGTTGAATTAAAAATTGTATAGGCTTGGTGCTGCTGGCTTGGTGGTCCCCAAGCCAGCAGGTTCACAAAGTTTTTCATTAGCACCTTCAATTTGCTCGAGATATTCAAACATAAATTCATTGCACAGAGTCCATTTTGAGCTCAGGGACGACACTGAAATACTTTATAAAGCTTTAGAGCAGTAAATTTTTTCTTGCTTATTTATGTGCATGAAGTTTTTAATGCTTGCACTCATGCACCCTCCTGCATACCATTTAACGGTGCAAAGGGAATAAGTATACGCAAATAAGTAAATAATTGACTATATATGGTTGGATATATGTTTGATGCGTTTTATTATATCAAGAAGATCACAGTTTGTCTGAAAATATTAAAAATGGTTCAAACAGAAGCAGCTAACCTCTTTTGTAATTACATTAACAACTCAGATTTTTCGAAGCTGAAAAGGTTTACTATGTTTAATAAAAAAAAGATACTGTAAACGACTTATTTTTTGCAGGCTCAATACTTCACGATATAGGTCAAAGCTGAAGTTTTGGAATAATTCGTGGGTTCTAATTTTCATGATGCAACGGGATCTTAATATAGATTCCAATATGTTTACAGTTTACTGGAATTGTTTGCGGGACCTATTTCTCTCGAATTGTAAGCAATTCGCAAAATTCGCGAAAATTAAGTTGTTTACAGTATGTCAACCTCATGAACAATGCCCGTTTGTATTCTTCACTGTAATGCACATGGAAAGTCAATAATTACAATCTTTAGACCATTCCATTTAGCGCTCTCTGGGCGGCACCATTTTGTTCGACAGCAGCGTCCTCTCCATACATCCGGGAAATTCAGCGGGTTCGGCGGGGTAAAACGAGAGAGAGGGCACGCGCCCGACTCTGCTAGCAGACAACAAACCGGGAGGTTGCTATTCTCCATCTTTGGGCTGTATCGGCGGGCTTTACGGAACATCGAACTCTCACTCGTGGCTGCCATTGTGAAGTGGTTGGCATTTCTAGAATAGTATATGGCTACTCCAAAATCAGCCTATAGCTCTCTGTTGTTCTATTTCGGTAAATGATTAACTAGCATTTCTTTTTTCCGTTGCTTAAATAGCAGTTGAGCCAGCTGGCAGTACTACCCTCAACTACTGCATGTATTGCGGCAGGAGAGCACATTTTTATTTATTATTTCAGACTTCCACTCATGGTCGCTAAAGGCCTACACCAGTACAAACTTTGTATAGTAAAAAAGGTACAGCAACCGGATTTACTTTTTGCCGAAGAGACCGGCCAATCTGACACAGTTTTCCCTATTTTCTTTTTGCAATTGGACAACAGCGCCATTGGACCCTGTTAGTCTTTTTATCTAGCATAGTATTACACGATAACTGGCATACCAAAATCTGCGCATCCGCGCTCGGAATTTCCAAAATGACGCTATTTTAAACAGGGTTTTTACGCCAGCCGGATGCTAGGTACAGCCCACTCGGCGGAGCAGACGACAATGATTGAGAGGGGGAGGGCATTTTTTTTTCTCTATTACCCTCTCTGCTGTGACCCTAATGGAACGGTCTATAGAGGAGCCTAGCAAATGATGAGGCACCAGTAATGTTGGGACTCAAAAATGGGAACTGTGCCGAGGCTCTGAACATGTGATTGCCATCAGCCATGTCCCAGCATATGTCATGTTCTTGAACCCAAATAATATCTCTACCTCATCATTTGCTGGACTATACTTTTGTAAGTCATAATGATCAGCCCCCATAGGAGCTGTGGGGAAACAGATGCACAGGCTCTGTTCAGAAAAATTAAATGCCTCTTCAAATAAATACAATAACACATTTCAACCTCAGCCACAATGCTGCACGGATCAACAAGAGAGCCAACCAGGGAAGAAACTGTTTTAATATGTTCCACACTGCCTAACTGTTTGGCATTCAATTTAATATTATCCGCAAAACTTTACCTTTGTAGTAAGTTTGCTCTATACCTAAAATTCACTTTCATCACTATGTCCTTGGGAGTGGCATAGCAAACTGTTTTCCAATAAAATGGACACTCTCCAGAGTTTGCCTTGAGAGAGATAAAGGGTGGAAGGTAGAACAGCATAACATATAGAATTTTGACCTTGTCCATATACGGGTAAGCAACTGAGGAAGAGGAGGCGAGAACGCCACAGTGCTGAGCTCCGACTGGAATGATTAGTGGGTAGACACAAAGCTAAGCTGCCTTTGTCTTTACTCACTGTTGACATGTGTATGACCACGAACGACGAATGCTGGCATTCAAATGTGTTCGAAGAGTGAGTAGAGCCAAAGGCAGCTAGCTTTGCCCCCACCCACTAATCATTCCAACCAGAGTTCGGCGCTCTGACACACCCTTGTCTCCTCCTTTCTCTCAGTTTCTACCTGTATAACTTAGGCATGTAGCTGTGGGGAGGGCAAGGAGGCCTGGCCCATCTCACAAAATTCTCCAGTGTTGCTGGCACCTCATTTTCCCCCCATATCCTCCTCTCCCCCCCCCCCCCACTCCCCTTTAAGAAAGAAAAAAAAATCCTGGCTATGTGCTTAATAGTGGAAGAAAACCTCTGAATACCTTTTGACATCCCTGTGAATGAGTGGGTCTGGTGTGCGAGTATGAAGGAAGTTGATAGCAGCAGCAACTTCTGTCAAAATAGAAATCCTTTTTTCCCAGTACATAGGAGCTACATCATTCTGTAACATATTTGAGAGACTTGTATCAATATTCACAGCAACGATGCTCATTGAATGCAAATTAGACAGCACATCTTCAAAGTCAGCATGATGCCTCATGTTGCATGTAGAGTATGCGTGCACGTTGCATGCATACTTCGCTTCAAGACAACTTGGCAAAGGACGAAAGCTGTGGCCCCCATGAGTCAACTGAAATGACAGATTGGAGCACGTGATCTCTCCACAGGAAGAATGCATGTCAATGATATCTTGTCATGCGTCTCTCTTCAATGCTCCGATTGGCATCCTGGGGTCGCACTTTTCGCCCTTTGCCATGTTATGCTGCAACGGGGTCACATACGTGAATTACAACCATTAGAAAGACTGCATGCAGGCACTTTGGCTACACTGGTAATTCACAAAGTAATTCACTAGAAACAGCACAACACAAAGAAGAATGACCAACAGGCTTCTCACATCCTAAAAAATGGCATCCTATCCAAGCCACACCCTGTGGAGGTCAGAATCGGTTAGGTTAGAGGCAGAAGCTTGGTTCCTGCAAGCTTTCATAACTACTTTATAAGAAAAATGCTTTACCTCTCTCGCAAGACACGACTGTAGTGAACCATATTCCATAAACTTGTAGACGATGCAACAGTGCCTGCTGTCATTTGCAACACCGACTAGCGGTAGAAGGTTTGGATGTCTAAGTCTAGGGAAGAAAGTAATTTTTATTTACTCATCTGTCAGTATTCAGAAGCAGTCAATGTTGCTAGATACTGTGAGTTGATAAACTCTCATTGATGTTTCACAGCAGAAGCCAGTTCCCCTCTCCCCTAATGTTCACCATGATATCTAAATTGCCATAGTAAATGTGTTCTAATGTATAAAGAAAAAAAAAGAGTGACACTCTAATCAATTGGTGATGAACCAGTGTAGAGAGAGAGAGAAAAAGAGTGAAGGTTTTGGGGGCGGGGAGGTACTCATTGGAAGTTTACTAAGTGAGTTCATCTAATAAGAATGAGCAATGTAAAGGGAAGAATATTTATAGTTACCTTCGTAGCAATTCAACTTCTGACAAGAATTTATTTGGGAATGTTTCCTTTAGGCACTTCACAGCCACAGTCGTGCCATCTGGCAGGGTTCCCTTGTAGACAATGCCAAAGGCACCTTCCCCAACCTTAGTATGGAAGTTCCTGGTAGCCCTGACCAGAACAGCATATGGAATCTCCAGTGCATCACTGGACTCTGTGCTGTTCACATCTGGAGCTGCAAATGAACAATGCAAGATGTCCCTGCCATTGTTTCCCTTCACACTTTTTTAATAGCATTTCCGTCATTGTAGAGCGTAAAACAATGTTCAATATGGACCTAGAAGTAAATATCTAATCATGCACAGCTGTTTCCAAACTTCTATGCAGTCAATGAAGGTTATTTGCAGCATGCATAGGCTTACCCATTTTCAAATTTTCGATGTGAGGCATACTAGAAAATTCAAAGACCAAGGTTGAACAGTAAATAGTATTCTGCAGAAGTTATTCAGGTTCTGTCAATCTGAGATAGCATATAATTCACCTGGACAATTATTTTCATTGTGTTTGCAGAACAATTGTAAGAGCTTGCTGTTGCTAAAATCTGACATAACTTTGCCTACACAAATGGGTACTAGCATGTGTAATATTCAGCTAGCAGATAGGCTGAAAATTGCCCGCCGAGTTGTCTTCTTTAGATTAATTTTTTATTGAAAAACACCAAAATGCATACTCACAAGCCTCATATTAAAAGATTTGAGGCAGTTCTGAGGTCATACCTGACAAAGCATTCATATACAAAATATGTTTTTTGGCTCGGTAAACCTCGGCATGATCGTTAATGCACCGAGACTTGTATCTCTGCTCTGCTGATAGCCTATACCAGCCAATGGAAGTGATGACAGCATTGCGTGTTCTGGTGGATGGGAATGAGCTTATGTCCCACTCAATGTTGGGGGATTCGGCAGTTGTAACGGTTTTTGCTACTAAAGTTTTCAACAAGTTGCTCCTGTCAAAAACTTATTTTATTGCCACATGCTATGGCATCAACTGATGAACCTTTGGCTGCTGTTTAAAGAGCAACCTGAACAAAATGGCAGGACAAATCACTGCCCAATAACATAACTACACCTTCATTGGTGTGCTCATATCAATAAATTTCAGCTGCGTTTCAGATTTTGTTGTCTTCGTCCGTTTTTTTATTGTTCCCCATCTCAGGGTCTACAAGATGTCATTCTGCTCATTTTATTAAAAGTAAAGGTCCTTTATATGCAACTTGTTTGGCGTGTCTTCTTCTTGTCCTTGTCTGTCCTTTACGCTTTAGATATTTAGCAGAAATTCAAGCATGTGGCAAACAAGCAGCATGTGCTTGGGACTTCGTAGCAAATTGCGAGGAGCGTTAGCTATCATCATACAATGGTTTCAGATGCACTCGCCCTTGTTGCGTGTAGATATCCCGGAATAGACCTTTCGCTAAATTACCCAAGCATCAAAGAGATAATGTTGGGAACGTAAGCACACATGCTGCGCGTGCTCGCCTTCCCTATAGAAAATATTCAAAGTAAATAACCAAAACAAAGCATCCGTGAAACATACATGCAAATTGCCACTTGTTTTAGATTTTTGCTTTCAAACAGTTAGAGCTGAAGACGCCAGCATGCGCAGTGCGTGTACCTACATTCCCGGCATTCTTTTTGATGCTTGGATAATTCGACAGAAGGTCTATTGCTTTCAAATATCCGATCGTGTGGGTTCCCCACCGCCCCCGAATTTCTGACCAGAATCCTTATACATAGTAATGAATGCAGCAGAATTGTTTTCAAGAGAATACATAAAATTCTGTGATGTAAAAGCAACAAGGGGAGTTGTCTACTTTTGTTTCATACAAGTAACATTATGCTATACCCAAATGCAATTTTCTCATTCCCCCCCCCTCCCCCTCCTCACATAAGAGACGAATGTACAGCTCTCTATGCCAGTCGCAGCTCGGCATCACATGCTTAAGATAGGCCAATCATGAACCTGGATTTTCCCCATGGTTTTCTCCCAAGGGCAAATCCCAATGAGTGGAGCTACACGCACTATGTTGTGCACCTTGACCGGCAATGGCCGTACGCACGACACGGAGAGCTCACACCATTTGGGTCACACTTTTCAGACGGCGCGTGTATCATTGGGGAGCGTGTTAAGCCAGCGTCCCCGCCAGCGCTCACATTGCTTGGCGGTGACAGTGTGCAGCTGCGAATTACAAAAATATTAAAGGGAGGTGCAACGATTTCCGGACTTCGGTCAAAAATTTGTGGAAGTTTCCCTCTGACACTTCTGAAGTAAAGAACAGAAAACCGATTTTGCCTGCGTGTCCTAGTGGTGTAAAAAAAAGATAAATATTGGCATTTCTGGTGCCCCTCAACAAACTCCTAATCTTCAGTGTCACACCTGGTCGCACTCCTAGTGACGTAATTCGCGGTGCGGAGTAGGTTCCTGTAGGCTCTCTTAAAAGACGCTTCCTGTCCCTCTCTCTACTGACATTAGAAGGCGTTATGCTGCAGCTTAGAGCCTAGCGAGGTCACGTAAGCTTCTCGCCATAGTTCCTTTGGCTGCCACTCGCGGCTATAGGAGGCGGAAAAAGCTAGACTTCTGACATAATGGGTGTAACAGCTTCAAAAAACAAGGACGATGAAAGGAAGAGACACGACAGGGCAACAGCTGTACTCGCAACTGAAAGGGTTTATTTGAAAAGGAAAAGAGAACACATACGTCAGTACCAGATAACACAATGTGCAATCAAACAATACGTGGAGGGCATATTGTTTGATTACACACTGTGTTATCTGGTACTGACGTATCTGTTCGCTTTTCCTTTTAAAATAAAACCTTTCAGTTGCGAGTACAGCTGCTGTCCTGTTGTATCTGTTCCTTTCATCGTCCTCGTTTTTTGAAGCTGTTACACCCACCATGTCAAACTTTTACCAACTCGCCAAGTTTGTGGGTGTGTGTGTGTAACACCTTGTTACAGCTCGACCTTGTCTTTGCAATTATGCAGTGGAATCGCAACATTTTTTAATGAAGGAGATGTTTTTGCTATCCTCCGGGACACGATAAACAACGTAAAAATGACGAGATGCAAATTCTTTTAATCTTAAAATCGTTGCACCCCCCTTCAACCCACTTGGCCCCCCCCTCGTACACGCCGCTTCGCGGCGTCCAGCCGGCAACCCATGTCCCGCTGTCCCCGATTGCACCTCCAGAAAGGGAGTCCCATACCATTTAGTTCAGCAAAGTTTCGCCGACAACATTTGTTTCTTTTTTTCAGCGTTAATCGTAAAAAAGAGATGTCGTAAATATCGCCAAATGCACTAAAAGAAGCTATATAAAAAAAAAAGAAAAAAAAAATCTTACACTGGGGATTGAATTTGGGTCTGCTGCGTATAAAGCAGACACCTTCTGCGCCACCGCTTTGGAAACCTGTTGTAACTAGAGCACTATATTACTCCTACAGAGCAGAGTAACGCAATTCTTTGATCTGCGTGTTTTGATGACAACATGGCCGACAGAGCAGCTCGGCGCGAGTCACTTGGTACTCAGGGTTCCAGGAGGCGGCCCGCCCTATGGGAGAACACATGGAGATCGACGCAACATGGCTGATTAAAAAATAAACGCCGAGTTCACACTTTTCTAAACTAGTCTGTCGTGAAGTTAGTAAAGCACTAAACACTTTATTAAAGTTTTTATACTATCGGATGCATGTGAAAATTTTGAGAAGGCAATGGCGTTTGAAGCAGACAGTTTTTGTACGCAGCGGAGGTGGACTTTTTGGGTTGGCCGGAGTGGGTCGCGTGAATGGTGTGACGTCGCCGCGTCGTCTGTCGCATGATGCCGCCCAGGCAATTTTTAAAAAAAATTACGTCCTTACGTGGCACACAACTTAGCGCTAATTATTCTAAAATGTTCCTTTCTTATGTTAAAAACTATTGTCGTTCTGTAGATCACCACAATATTGAAGAAAACAATTTTCTCACAATCCCCATGCATTTCTGCCCGGTGTTGGAACCTCCTGGCGTTTGCCGTTAGTCGCTGAAAGATGGCGTTCTAGATTGCGCTACTCCAGAGCCGTATATGTAGAGAGTTTGGCCATTCATTGGGAAGTATTGGAGACAAATGAGGAGGCGCCGTTGGTTGAAAGCGATGCTGGGCGTGTTCCAGGGCGTCTTCAGAAATTCAAATGTGGCCAATCAGAAGCCGGAAATAATACCCTGGCGCTGGTCGCAAGAAACAAACTTGATAAGTGCATCGGAGTAACTCTCGGTGACTGAAAATATGGTGCACGTGATGTTTCAATCACGGTCATCCAAAATCATGGTGGAAGAGTGCGACTAGCGGAACGTTCGACATAATCCGTACGCCAAGTGCCGAGGGCCGGAAATCTGCCGTCCGAGCGGTCACACTCTGTCCGAGCAAAACAGAGTTCAAGCCATGCATTCATTTCTTACATCTTTTTGTGTGATCATGATCGAAACATCACGTGCATCCTATTTTCAACCATGAAAAGTTACTACATTTATCTCTTACATACTTATTAAAACGACCAAAACTGTTTGTCGCTACCACCGCTAGGGGATTCTTATAGGCTTCTGATTGGCCACAAGAGCATGCCAAACCCTCTTTCTGCATCTGGCACTGCACGCCCTGGCTCTGCCCGCACCTCCCATTGATTTAACTCTGTATACACGGCTCTGCACTACTCTGCTCCGAAGGAGCTATATAGTGCTCTAGTTGTACCTATTCGTTTTATAGACGCTTTACACACGCGCCAGAATACAGCCGCCATTGCTGACCTTCTCTTGTTTTACCGAGATACCGAGCCACTGAAATTGGCGTGGACGAACCTCCACAAAGGCCAATGCTGGGGAGCAAGACAGAATAAAATCTAAGATGTCAATAACCTGGCGTGCTATGGTAGTAATGAAGTGAACGTAATAAGGGGAACAAAAACCGGAGGTCAGTTATGGCGGCGCCCATGCACTGCTGCTGCAAAGTGTCTATACGAGTTTCGCGTCGTGCGTATAGCCATTTCCGGTCGAGGTGCACGACGTAGTGCGTATAGCTTTACTCAATCCCAATACGCCTCCCCTGTCATATGCAAATTGTGTAGGGCCAGAATTGAATGCCGGCGAAATTATGCTGCACAAACGCAGCATCATTGTCGTTGCTGTGGGCATAAAAGTATACCACACCATATACTTACTGGAATCGGTGACAGACTGGGGCGGGGCCGATGGCTCCATATCAAGTTGAGATAGCAATTCTTGGACAGACTCATCACCCTCGTCCACAGGCGCCTCTAGAGTGAGGGGCATGGCAATACAATTATTGTGTCCACTGTCCTAACGGGTGAAATGAATATAGCAACGGGAATACATACCCTGAAGCACATCGGTCGCTATGATCGAAGCAGCACGGTACTGTTCAGCTTCTTTGAGTAAACACAGCAGATCTCGTATTTTAGGACGGTTGCGTCCAGTTGTACTCCACGACTTCAATATTTCGTCCGTGCGGCTCCGTCTGGTTTCGTTTTCAAGAACCCTAAAGAGTACGAGAAAAGTGTAACTTTAGATCGCCCGTCGTCGAACTGTCTGTTGCCCCTGGTTACCAAGCATGATCGGCGTTAAAGAGTTTCCTGTCGGAGTGATCTGGATGCGTGATGAGGTAAAGTATTTTTTTCCATCCATCGCCTGCGTCCAGAAGGTTGACGAGTAGCGAACGCGCTCGTCCGGGAAGAAATCTGAGCTCGGTGTCTGCGGTGACCACACTTTCAGCAAAAGTTCCAGTGTCGCACGTTCCTCCGTCACTCTCCATCGCTAACTACGGTGACCGTACGATGATATGGGAGAGCTTGAAGAATTTATGAAGGGATGGCAGGACATAACAACCGATAGAAACTCCCCTTCGCTACGTGCCGACCAGTCCCGAGAGAAGATAACAAGCACAGCACCCAAAAAACTTTCCGCGCTTTCCGCACCACGGCCCGCACGGCCCGCACCAAGCAAAACCGCCCTCAGTACCAAGCCAAACGGCCGAACCAAGCCAAACCAGCCAAACTAGAGCAGATAAATAGATAGATCATGCAAACTGCAACTCTCCGTACTAGGTGGTAGCTTGCGCCCCCTAGCCTTACTCTCGGTCGGAAATGGTCTCAATTTCCTTTCCCTTCACTCCCAAACAAAGAATTATTAATTTATGTGTGATTCCGCGCCTTCCTGGGTATTATTTTTAATCAATACTATAACATTTTCTTATTGGTACAATTATTTTATTATTGTACCGATGCCGCGTGGCCAATGTAACTGTCAACTCTGTCAACCATTCTTGGCCGTCGCCGTCGCCCCCCCCCCCCCCCCCCCCCCCCCCTTTTTTTTTGTTGTTTTGATGGGGCAGTTCTGCATTTGAGAAAAAAAGACTTGAATTGCGTTCATTTGACCTTTGAAATAACAGATATCCCAATTATGTTTCAATGCGACGCGCCGGAGGGCCATAAAGCAATTTCAAAATAGGGCTGCACCCCCGCCTCCCTAGCCTTGGGCAGCCAAAATATCCGTTGATGACGTCACGTACAGCGACTGCCTTTCGCATTTTTTCGCGTTTAGCAATACTTGCGTAGCTAATGGTTTGGGCATTTGGGTTCACGGGGTAAAAATACACTAGAATTCACTTCTACCTCATTTTTTTTTTCAAGAACCTCCGTAGCTTCCTTTTAATTCACGTCTCCTCAAGGAGACGGGTTTATGAGGATTCCGGATTATAAAAAATACCACATTTTGCTTTCAATTCCTTTCTAAGCCTCAAATGGACAGTGGCAGGGTATTTATGTTCACCAAGGTTTTTATTTGTACATGACATATGAGAGCCCAACTACCCAGAAGACAATTTGCGGCTCAACATTAATTTTCTTTCCGCCCGAAAACCACCGATTAAGAACTGGCTGGTTTGAGTCGCGCTCACTCTCTTCTCCATGGTCACGTGACTTTTTCTATGGTTGAGACACAACCACCAAAGATAATCGACGTCGTGGGTCATCGAAGGCACACACTCAATACTAGAAATGGACGAAAATATGATACCCATTTTTCGCGGCTTCTAAAAAGCTGCAGATACATTGACTGAAAAAAAAAAAAAAAGAAAGACGTTTACAATTTTTTGTGATGCCGAATTAGAGAGAAGAAGAGAAGGAGGGGAGGGTATGGAGGGGAGGTATGCCCGTCCTCCCCCTCCGTAACCTCTCCTCCACCTCTCCTGCTCTCCTACCATTTAGCGGAAAATTTTCCCTGAATTTCCCGCTAAATTTAGCGTGGAAAAATTTCCGCTAAATTTAGCGATGAAATTTTGCCCTAAATTTTGCGAGGAAATTTTTCTGCTAAATTTAGAAGGAATTTTTTTCAGGTAAATTGTTTTGTTAAATTTAGCGGTTAAATTTTTTTCTGCTAAATTTAGCGGGGAAATTTTCCGCTAAGTTTAGCGAGGAAATTTTTTAGCTAAATTTAGTGGGCAAATCAGGGAGCTCTCGTAGATCGTTTCCGCTGTCCCGCAACGTTCTCCGCAACCCTCTACGAGATCCAGTACTCTGCAGGCAAAGGTAGCGTCGCACATGCGCAGTAGTGGCGGCTTTGTTCCGGAGAGTGTAGCGGAGGTGGGAAAACTGGCTACGAAAACTCCCTACTTTCACGCTAAGTTTAGCGGTAAAATTTTTACGCTAAATTGAGCGGGGAGATTTATTCGCTAAATTTAGCGGGTTAATTTTTCTGCTTTTTTCAGTGTTGGACAGAGTACTCGATAAAAGTATTTAAGTTACTGAATACCTTTTCCTAAACTATTTAAAATTGTACTCAAGCATAGCCTCCTCTATAGGTTGTTTGCACATGACGTCAATCCGCCATTTTGTTGTTAGTTTGTTTCTTCAAACAAATTTACTACATTGAAGGATTACACCGTAACCGCTTGAAATGATGTCAGTGGTGCTCTACGCATTTGAGAACGCATGTAAATCCTTGAAATGCTCGAGTTTGGCACACGCCAGACAGATAGCAACAACAAAATGGTGGACGAAATTACGTCAGTGAAAACACCCTATACGGAGAAAGCCTGGCACATCGACGACGGAGCCATAGAGCGCGCGGCCGCAGGAAAAAGGAGAGGAGGAGCGCGCCGAACGGTGACCAGTATGGTAGCGCAGAGCAGAAAGGGCAGACCTAGACAGCGAGCGCTTGGGTCGTGAGCGGCCGCTCCCCGAACCACGCTTGTGTTTGTGTTTTCGTCACCGTCGTTTTCGTACTCCGGGAGAAACGGGCGCGGCGATTCGAAAGGGCGCAGGGAGAAACGGGAAAGGGTGGACGTTGAGTTTCTCCTCTCCACGATAGCGACAAGAAAAGATAGAGAAAAAAAAGATTGTTTCTGCGTTTGGCCGCTCGCTCTTTTGTGGCGCTAGCGGTCAAGGTTCTCTCCGCTCCCGTTTCTCCGCCCCTCCTTTCCCATTTACGGCGGCCGTCTTTTCACGCGACGCGCCAGGCTTTCTCCGTATATAGGAGGCTATGACTCAAGTTACTTTCACCCTATAGTATCTTGAGTAGAGTACAAATACTTAGAAATGTAACTCAATTAGCTTTGAAGATACTTCCGCATGGTGTAATTTGTATTGACTTCAGTGACAGTTGCGGAAATCTGGTTTACCAGAATGGTTTGTTAGCACGCAACAGCACAATACGGCACAAAAACAACCACAACAACAAAAACGTAAGGTTATTCTATGAAGTCCAACTATAAGGATCAGTATATAACTAATACATGTTACAAAACATTTCTAAAAAAAAAAAAGAAGAAAATAAGTTGTTTTAGCTATAGTGGCATTGCTGAATAACTCGTCCTGCGGCACACATTGGACACATCGTTTAACTGCAATCCATGTTCCCTATATGGGGGGTTCACTATAAACGAACTTGGGATACGGAAATGAGTGAATGGATAACAAAAAGAGCCCCATAATATTCACGGCACTGGTCGCACCTTCTTCAAGTAAGTTGCGTTCAGAAAGGCACTCAACGTTGGGGACGCTTTGTTGGCATTTTGAGAGGTCATCCTGGTCGTAGATCGTTTCCTCTCCTGTTCTCTGCTTATCATTGTTCGCTTACAGACAGTGTTCGCGAGAGCAATAAGTGCTGGACTGACGCCCAAAAGAAAAGAAACAAGCAAACAAAAACTCGACGTTCTGCCGTAACGGGGCGAAATAGGCAAAAAAAAGTCATTTTTTTTGTTTATAATGCAATTAAATTCAAAGGTGCAAGCGAGCTGGACAAGAAGGACGAAAATACTCCCTGAACAAAAGGGACAAAGGAAAAACACAAATCTCCAACTTTTTGGAGATTTGTGTTTGTCCATTGTCCCTCTTGTTCCCTTTCTCCAGAGAGTATTTTCGTCATTCGTCTTGTGTCCGCTTCTCATTTTCTTCTATTTTGTTTTCGTTACCTTTTGACACTGAAGTCTGCATTGTTTTCGTGGGTCGTTTCCCGTTCTGCGTTGCGCCTCAGTGTGGCCATCTTTAGTTTCGTAAAACCACTCCTTTTTGTTTGAGGATATTTTTTTTTAGGAAACTCTAGGAAACGAAAAGAGCCCTTGGGAAGGCGAGGAGAAAACCTTAATTGTACGAACCATGGGATGCAATATGAGTCACAATCGGCACAAAAGCGATGTTTCCACGAGCTCAATCAAATGGCGAATTCCACTGGGCGTTTTGGAGCGCGCCATGATCAGTTCACCAGATCCGGAATGGAGCACGCGATCCGAACGGAATCGCGCCGCCTACGGATCCCCGATGGATGGAATATGACCACTGCTCCGGGATCGGCGGATGCCTTCCCGTCATTCACCTGCCCGGGAATCGCGGTGCTAACACGTGTTCGACTCACGAGAGGCAGGGATGGCTCAGGAGCTTCTAGCAAAGTTTGCCGGAATATCGGAAGCTGTTCGAGCAACTTGACGACGAACTGTCGTCAAGCAGCAGCAGCAGTAAGGCGGGCGGTTCAGCAGCCATTACGAATTCTTCTGAGGCGAGATGGGCGAGATCACGCGAGATGCCCCACGAGAAAGGAAGTCACATGTGTGCGCCGTGGGCTGGCCCGGCTAGTTTCCGGTTGAATCCACCGAAATCGGCGGAGCGACTTTTCTAGGATCCGGATCGAGATCTGGAGCGGGAGCTAATCCAAAACGACAAGTGGAACACGTCCGTCTCGATCCCGATCGCCCTGTAAAATAGGATCACTCCAGAAAAGTCTATCCATGCGCGCTTAAAAATGACCAGTGAAATTCGCCATAAGTCACCGTAGCTTATCGGAGCTAGCAACAGGATTTGGTTGCTCGAAAGTATGTTCACGTTTGCTCGTGCCACGCCCACGCCACTTCATCCAAAAAACTCGAAAAATGGCGGAATGTCAAAAATGCATTTAAGATAATGAGATACTCAGAAATGTAATTAAAATAGAGTATCAAATACTCTCGAGCAAAGTATTTGCAAGAAACCAAGATACTTCAAACAGTATTTGAAATACAGTACCTTGAGTACAGTTTTTGAGATAGGTACAAGTCTGTTCTTTCTTGCTAAATTTAGTGGGGATTCCGGTATATTTCACGGGGAAATTTTTTCGCTAAATTTAGAGGGAAAATTTTTCGCTAAATTTAGTGGGGAAGGGTAATTTTTCCGCTAAATTTAGCGGGAAATTTTTTCCACTAAATTTAGAGGGGAATTTTACCGCCAAGTTTAATCGCCGTGTGACGTCACTTGTGACCCTCGTGACGTCATGTGTGACGTCATTATGGGAAACGTCTCATAGTGCAACACGCGGTTACGCCGACGGCTACGCCGCTTAAAACGGAAACGGGCGCCTAAAAGCTGCGCTCTAAAAAGTCCGAGGACATCTAAGCAATTCCTGTGAGTTGTGAATGCGAAAGCATGAATGTCGTTCTTTGACTCCCTTAGCTCGTCTGCGGCGTAGTGGCGTGGACGGCCGAGCGCGCGCTCTCGTGAAGTGGCCGCGCCGCGCTGAGTTCGGCCGTGCAGCCTCTCCGGCGTTTGCCCGAGCGGGCGCTGTGCCAACATTACCTAGATAGAAGGCCTCCGCACGCGTCATCACAGTCAGATCGATGGAGTTGTGAGATTAGGCACGAGTGCTGATGTCAGTGTTTGGCTGGGGCTCGTGTCCAATCATCGCGTCGAAGGTCCGGCTCGGGCCCAATAGCCGAGTTAGCGCGATCCGACTCTGACGACGTGTCATGAAGGGAGAGGAGACTGTGCGGAGGCCTTCTGTCTAGGTGGTGCTGGCTGTGCTAGGCCTGTGCGGCCAGGCCCGCACCGCCGCACCTCTTACCGGCGGCCGGGCCGCTGCGTGCGCTGCGCCGCCATGGTGAGGGCTTCCCTGGCGGCGCCCCTTGGAATTACGACGCACGATGGGAGCCTCGTTTCTTGATGACGTGGGCCAGCCAATGGGAGCCTATCCATCAGATTTCTGCTGCAGACGACAGGCTTCGCTCCATTGGGACAGGGGAAGGTGTCGTTTGGCGCGGCTTACAGCTCATGGCGTCGGTTCGCTCCATGGGACAGTTCATGTTTTCGGATTAAAAGTTGCACAGCCCCACGTGACTTCCGGCATCTTCCTTTCTATACCTCTTCCGCCTCCCCATTTTAGTTGCGGTTTTGAGCAGTTGTGTTCTTTCACTTTATTAAAAATATACGTGACACTGTAGGGGGTAGGGGTGTTAGTGATTTTTTAAAAATAAAATTCAAAAACATACTTCCACCATCTAATTTTATCTTCGTGAAAAATGTCAACGACACAATCTCATTAATCGTGCGGTGTACTCCAGTAATGTGACGGGTAAATACGAGGGCTGTTTCCTAACCTCCAATAAACTGGGTAAAAACACACAAAAAAAACGAATGATGAAAACCGTTTAAATGTACACAAAAGTTAGATACATACTGTAGTTATAGAATAGTTTATTCAGTAGTGCCCACGATGAATGCCGCCAATGTGAAGTTGAAGTTTGCGTCTTCGGGGCCAAAGTAATCAATGAGAAAATCATGACCACGGGCATACACGGCAGTCGCCTCTGAAATTTCGTACCAACAGAGCCTGCAAAAGAAATTGTAGAATTAGAGCGATTGTTATTTACATCTTTATCTCTGAAAATTATACACGGTAGGACACTGTTTTTCGAAAATCTTTGAGCTCGGGATGGGATTCCCGACGTTACAAACACTCTGCACCAGAGTGCGCTACTTGTCCAATAAAACTCCTGGGCGCTTCCTGCAGGTTCGTTCAGCGGAGGTGTGGAAGCTCACATTACAGAAGACGCGGCGCCATACGCCTCCAAAATGTGACCGCCTGGGAAGTCGGGCATCCTGGCTTTTCCGAACCAGGATGGATATTATTACTCTTATGAACTGTAAGCCCTGCTCTCAGAGCATCATTCGATTTGTTAATTTGTTTACCGATTGACTTATCACCATCACGTGGCAGTTGCAAGTGATATCACCTAATGCAAAACCAAAACAAATAGGTAAAAAAATATCAAGGATGGTTGGTTATGAATCTTGAAGGTCTCAGGCATAAATGCCACTTAAAATGCCTGCGAGTGATGGGTATAATTAAAAAACTGTTAAAGCTATTTTTCTTTTTTCGACTGTTTGTGGGGCCGGGGGAAAAGGCGGGGGGGGGGGGGGGGGGGGGGGGCGGACGTCTGCTGTTTAGGTTGTTTGTATACTTTTTACGCACAGGCCATCTTATTTCTCCTTTTTTTTAGTTACCTGGCTTCTTTTTATCTTTTGCTCACCTCGTATCTACAGATATCGACACAGTACTTACGAAGCGGTTTTCGGATTTTGCAATTTTTCTCCTACTGCTGAATTGCGGCGATTTAAACTATGCTTATTTGGGGCACCGCCCTAGGAGGTGAAATTTGGTATCAGGCATTAACGTGCTTGCGTAAAATGCGAAAAAAGCATCAATGTTGCGTTAACTTTGTCTCCACGCTACACTCCGCCTCCTGCAATGAATCTACTCAATGAAGCAATGAGCGAAATCCATATTCGAAGTTACGAAAATGAAGAAGGGACGGGGAAGACGGACCACAGACGACAGGGGCTTTCAATTTGCCACCAGTCCCTAAGCCCCGAACTCTTTGAGCTTTGGGGTTTCGGGCGGAAAGTTCAAGCCAGTAAACGTCTTTGATGCAAGTTTAAAGTCCGCGTTGTCTGCAATGTCTTCCATGTGCATCTTTCGTTTTCGTAACCTAGTCACCAACACGTTCAACCATCCTGTCGTTCGAAGTAAGTGCGCTTTATTAGTGGTTCTGTTTTTGCCTCGTTACAAAAGCGGAAGAAGAAAGGAGCAAAGGTGAATAAAACACTATTCACATCTCCGAGGATGCGGCGCCACCTAGCGTAAAATACGCGAAGGAGAGAAGAACACTGGCTCAGCCTGGCGGCGAAAACACAGAACGGAAGGACGGAGATTAGATGCACGCCTATCGGGTCGTGAATAGTTCTGTAAACTTTATGCTATATCTCGTTGCATTATATGCTTACCTAAATACGTGTAAAAAAAAAAGCGTTTTTGTTCGTTTGTTTTACCGCCAAACTAAATCACGCATCATGTACCGAACACTTTACCTTATTCAAAAGTTATAAGCAATTTTCTGGAAGTTAAATGGAAAAGTGAGGCCCGTTCCCGGCTTTGTTCGGGAGCTCCATCGGCTGTCACATTCCCATCGAAAATTTCCGAAAATCATGTAAAACTTTTGAATAAGATGACGGCAAACTCTGAAACTTTGGCGTCTTGTCCGGACCGCTAGCGCTACGCTTGTGCGCAGACTGAAGGTTCGGCGATGTGTTCAGTAGTTTATTTTTGCCATGAAAACAACAGCAACAAAACATTGTAATTTTAATAACAACCCCTGCGGGCCGAATTGCTAGTTGGTTGTACATCCTTGAGAAGTAAAATGTCCAAAGACAGGGACGGAAGAAAGTAGATGCTAACAGGACACGGCGCACTTTCAACTGAATTTTTATTTTGAAAAAACATGAGGGAAGCAACAAAATATAGAAAACAGATGCGCTAAAAACAGTAATCATAAAAAGGCTACGCCCCTTCACGCGTGACTTGCTAATTGTGGATATACGCAAACTCCATGTCTGATTAAAGATTAAAACAGCGCAAGAACATGGAACAAGAACATGAAGGTAGACAAACAAGACAAAACAGCGCCTTGTTTGTCTGCCTTCATGTTCTTGTCCGTGTCCTTGCGCTGTTTTAATCTTTAATCATGAAATACCAACTAGCCCAAACTTCTACTTTAGTCCTTGTCTGAGAGCGCCATCTAAAGGGTGCTAACACACACATCGTTGCCATGCGATTTAATGATGATGATGATGGTGATTAATAATAATAATAATAATAATAATAATAATAACACTAATAATAAGGTAGGACTCATAAATTTCGCGCGCAAATTTAGTTTTGAATTTGGTTATCACTTTAGTTTCTTTAAAATCTGGCTCTGGGGCTTTATTTTGGAAACGACCATGTCTGCTGAGCGTACGAGCTAAGGTTCAAGAAAGGGATGTTACCGTTTGGCTCCGCTCACTCTAAGCTCGTAAAAAGGGAAATTGCCTCCACCTGCATTGCCGCCCCTTAGCAAAAAGAGGCCGTACTTCAAACGAAGTTGAAATATATTTAGTACGAATATTCATTTTGTATTTATTCTGTATGATTTTGGCCGCATTCGAAATACGCGCGTAATGTATTCAAAATACATTATAAATATGAATAAAAAAATATTTTAGTTATACCAAAAATATTATTCCTTCACACTCAAGATGCCATTTGTGCATTAAAAACCGGTTACACAATTTTTTTTTATTTTCGATTTTGTCAGCAAATGGTATCCCTGTGGTATTTGAAGGCACTACTAGATACATCTCACAAAGCTACATTAGAAACGAACACAAACACAAACACCATGACGCACAGAGCAGCTCATTCACAGTCCCGCTGACTGCTCTAGAGCCTTATATAGCCTACATATTAAAGGTAATAATTTTTTCGGTGACCACCTCTGCGCTTATGAAGGTTCCAAATATTCAATCTTCTCCTCGGGAGTCTGTCAAAGGGGAAACAGTGTTTTGAAGTTCGTGGACGATATCTCTTAGTAAAAGGCATTGGTACAACTAATAACAATTGGCGCAGTCCTTAAAACAATATCCACACAAACGGCTCATAAAATACATGTTATTGCTTCTCTGCGTAGCAGCACTCAGGACGAAGCGAATCAAGGCAGTATCTTCACTTTAAAATACTGTAAACGACTTTATTTTCGTGAGGACCTAATTCTCGCAAAGTTCGCGAATCGCCTACAATTCCGAAAAATAGGTCCCGTGAACAATTCCGGCAAAATGCAAAAATATAAAAATCTATATTGCAATCCCAGCGCGTCGCGAAAATTAGAATTTGCGAATTATTCCAAAACTCCAACTTTGACCTAAATCGCGAAATATTGAGCCCACGAAAAATAGATATTTTACTGTAGTTGTTTTGCCTTTCCATTTTAGTAGTTGACTATTTAATATGGTAGTTAATATCACTATATTAAAGTCACTATTCACATCACGTAACATTGTGCTAACGAAACCACTTTAAACGTATCTGTTCACAGCACCTGCTGAAGCTTTCCAGCATCAGCAAATGTTGTAGTTGTAGTCCCCGAACCCCGTTTGTGATTGGTGTGCAAGGAACTGATCAGGTGTGTCCTTGATAGAAAAAAGGAAAAAATAACATAAAATGGGCTGATTTATCAGTGCGATGCTCCGCAATTCAGTTGACAAACTAATCAAATGTTGTATTTAGGCGCTTCAGTGTACTCCATATCTACTTGAAGTGAACTTCTAGAAGGGGAGCTTTTCAATATTTTGATAGTTTAAGTCAAACTACCAAAGTATTGCAGTCAAAAGGTACTTAGAGTATAACACAACAGTATTTACGATTTTCAGGTATTTTAAGAGTATTCTGCACGTATTTTTGATTGCTCCATTTTTTTAGGGTTGGAGTATATTTTGCATGAATTAAATAAATATTTCAAGAAATTTACGTGAAAGGTATTTTGTGCCTATTAATTTAGTATTTACATATTTCAAAACGCATGAAGGGAACTTCAAATGTAGTTTAAGTAAAGGTATTTTAAAATGATTTTTAGAAGTATATTTTAGTACTAAGTAAAAAAAAAGAAGTTTACATTTTCCGTATATTTTTCGTGTACTTAAAATTATGAGCTGTAATTCAAATACACTCAAATTAGAATGTGGTATATTTCAAACGTATTAGTTTTCGCTAAGGGGCCTCGCTTGAAAAAAAAAATGCTATTACCGGATGAGCAGTAGCTTTATTTCACAGCTCAACAAACTGAAAGTTGCGGTCTTACTCCCCAAGTCTTCTCTGGTGTGCCAGAAACCCTCGCGAAACACAAAAAATACAAAGCAGTGATGAGCAGCGAGACGGTGCACTCAGGAGGAAGGGCAGGCCTGTTGTCCTACCCCACATACTCAAATTATCGCATAACCCGAAGAAAGTGGCTAATCGGTTTCATATGCCGGTTGTTTTTTCTGCACCGAATAAACTTGCCAACCCGTGTACAAGGATCACCGAAAGCTCAGATGAGTCGGCGGCGACAGAAGAAATTTGTATAAAGCGCCACGCAACTCAGTTTTGTGAATGTGTCACTAGTGTGACGTATGGAATTCCCTTGTCCTGTGGGAGGGTGCACGTGGACCAGACAGGGAATGCGTCAATAGGGAATTGTAGTAGACCGTTTTTCTCCTCCGCTACGGTATTCCTCAAGAAAACGCCGCAGATGCGCATGCGCGCCGCCAGCCTTGTCTGCATAGTTCAAGGTCTTGTGGCGGATTACGGAGCGCTATCCGGGTGCTTAGCGGGCTGCGGAAACGGTCTACTACAATTCCCCAATGACAAAACAAGAGAGCAATGCTGCCGCTACCATACAGTCTCCTCTGGTCATTTTGCAGTACATTGTGACCGCTGTGAATCTAAACCAGTCTTTAAAAAACTAGAGTGGTGAGTAAATTCAAAACAAAATTTGCTCGCGCGAAATTTATGAAGCCTTCCTAATCAAATCGCATGGTAACTTTATCGGTGTTAGCGCCCCATTCGCTGGCGCTCTCAGACAAGGATTTTGCTTATATCCGCAATGAGCAAGTCATAAGTAAGGGGGCGTAGACTTTTTATTTTTACTGTTTCTAGCGCATATGCTTTAAATTTTCTTTTGTCTTTTCGCTCGTTCGTTTTTCAATATAAAAATGCCATTGAATGTACACCGTATCCTGTTAGTATCTATTTTCTTCTGTTCCTATCTTTAGGCGGCTTACTTCGATTGTAATTTTTTTTTTTTTTTCGGGGACACCCTGCACGTTTGTCTATGCGAACCTTTCGTCGCCTCTGCACCCGTTGGTATAAACGCGGCTATGTTCTGCGCGACGAAGATTATTTTTTAAGAAAATAGCTTCGTCTGTTAGCCTGGTTTTGCTAAGTGGGACCCGCGGTCTTTCATAGGCAGTGCACGTCCTTCTATGTACCTCTCGCCCTTGTACATGTCGTGGCTCCTCAGCTCGAACTGCAGATCACAACTTCCGGGTCCGTGTCTTGCATTGTCAACTGAGATGCTGGTGAAAGTCAGTCCCGTTCGGCTTCCCTCGGGCCCCTGTTGGACCAGGGACACAGAGAGATATCACGACCGGTTAATCCTCATTCCCCAGATGAGAAAAAAAGAAAAAGAAAAAGGAAAAAAAGATCGAGTTGAACAGTTGTGACGGCAAAAGTTTTGCAGCAAACACGTAAGAAATAAAATAACGATCTCAAAGGAAAGTAAAACTCAAGAGTGGACCTGAGGACTGCTGTGAGAAAAACAACAACAAAAAAACTAAATGGCGAATGAAATATAGATGGATTGGTGCAGCATAACTGATAAGGTTGCACTTAAACAGTAATTAAGTTAGAGTTACATGCAGTTGCTTGAGTTAAAGCGTAATAGAGTTACAAAAATAGTTACATTATCATATATGTGTCTAGTTAGATACTCGTCAAGCAACTCAGTTCCAACCACGTTTTTAATATATCCATTATGTTAAGGTATGCTGTGGATGGTCACTACCAACGGTTTAGTGTTTGCTGCGTTTCGTTTCGATTCAGCACACTTTTCACTTAAGTAGTTGAGATAATGACAACATAAAGCGTTGATAGGGAACTATATATGTTCCAGTGGGACATCATTGTCCCATATTAGAAGCGCTGAGACGCACATTATCGGCTCTGGAGTCAAAGCAGACGCGCTCAAAAGATATTTATAGTGCCTCCTTAAAAGTGCACCTGAAATATTCTCCAGCTCTGTTTTTACTCACGCGAATCCACCATGTACAGTGACTGCTGCCGTGCTCACTGGCCGTAAAGTGTACCGTGGCATTTTCGGTGAGAACTTCTCCGCACATGCCTGCAACGTGAAGTATAGTTTACGCCAAATTATGATTATGCCACAAGTTAAGTTATGAGTTTTCTTTTTAACGAGGTTACCTTTTTTGGTCGCTGTCTTGTGTTCACAGTAATCTCCAATTGCATCTGCCGGACAGACACAGGTGCAGCTTGGACCGAGGTATCCACCATGAAAACATCGGGTGCTTTTTAGATTCGAACACCGCTCTGAAAGTGGTAGAGTCATACGCACAAAAACTAAGTGTCACACTATATCTCGAATATCTCCTTTATTAAAAACTCAACTTCTTAAAATATGAAGGCAATGAGCAGAAAAAATATATCGTAATAGCGTTAAGAAGTCGCACCGACATCTCAGCAAACACATACAACGACAGCTTAATAACGTTAGCCGGTTATGAAATTAAACCCCGGAAGTCTGTATTTTAAAACCCTTTGGGAATGACGCGTCAGATGCGGAATGTAGAGCATGCTGTTGATTTTACTTTTTTAACGTCTAATCCAGATAAATGGTATCGAGGTTATACACTCGACGAGTGCGAAATGGTTGAAGTTACCAATTTAAGGCCCGTTCACACACTTGTAACCGAGTAAGACCGACTGAGGCAAGGCTAGTCTTTAAGCCTCTTGCGAAGGCGTACACTCTAAAAAAAGCCCGTGCGTCTGCTTTCCCTCACAACACCCGAAGAGCCAATCACCGCAACTTACCGAGGCGGCTCAACGAATGGCAATGCCGAGACATATGTTTAGAGCAAAAAACGCAGTCTGAGTTGTGACATTAAGCAATGCAAGCGTGACGTTCTGCATTGCTCCGTGTCACAACTCAGACTGCGTTTTTTGGTCTAAACATGTTTCGGCATTGTCATTCGCTGAGCTGCTTCCGTAAGTTGCGGTGATTGGCTCTCCGAGTGTTGTGCGTGAAAGTAGACGCACATACATTTCTTAGATTGTAGGACCGGATGCGCAGCTGCAGGCAAGGTGCTAAGCCGTCGCAAGAGGTTTAAGAACCGGTCTTGTCTCAGCCGGTCCTACTCAATTGCAGGTGCGAGAACGGGCCTTAAAGGGGTACTCCGCCGATTTCTTCGTGGTCCCCGATTTGCTCGAAAATTTGCTAAACTCGCCAAACAACATCGCCAAAATAGTATCCCAAATATTAGGTCAAAATGATTTTTTTTCACGAAGTTATTGAATTTACAATTTTGGTCCTCACCGTGTTTTTCAAACTGAAAGTCTCTACTGGCAACAATGAAAAAGTGACGTCATTGGAAGTGCAGGGGTTCACTCTTTGGACTGTAGAATTTGTTCCCAACTGATTTGAAGCAGTTTCATGGTGTTAAATGAATGCCTTGGAAGCTCGCTCCAGTCCCCGCGCTCCAGCACGGAACAAATAATTGGCATATTCTATTTTTTAGACTGCTCGCCCGACTGGCAAGCTGAACTTCCATTGACGTCACGGCCCTGAAAAGGGCGGGTATATTTGAATGTCTGTTTTTGCATCATTTTCATTTGCCGATTTCGCAATAACTATTATGAACTTCACGATATCAAATAGCATTCCAGAAAGGGTAAAGGCCTGGGAGTCAGAAAATATAGTTAGTTGAGGTAGCTCAAAAATCAGCGGAGTACCCCTTTAATGATACTTTAAATATGTTGGCACGCGATGTAAAGTGAGATTGTTAAAGTACTCAAGACATACCATTGCATCGATACAGCATGTTAAGCTTCTTGATGTCTATGAATCCTGGCTCCTCTGTGTGCAATGTCTGATGCAAGTAGAATGGGTCCATTGGATACAGAACCTTGTCATCCTCTGCCTCGATGTAACCTGCCGCACCAGGGTCCTGCATAGATCACAACGGAACGAATATGCGACTAGCCAACCGCGACGCTCCGCCATTTTTGGTTCAAGTGCGTCCCAGCATGCATGCTCCAGCTTTAAGGTACTTGTTTATAAAATTAAAATGCATTCAGCGCTTTCGATGAGAGCGCTGGATGCATACACTCATGTAAAAAAAAAAAAAAAAAAAAAACTTGATCGGAACAAGTTGCCGTTAGAATCAGACAAAAGGGTTACAACATAATCCGCAAGACGCCCGTCGATATATTGGTAATTTCAATATTTCAGACACTGAGCTGCTTGAGCATGGTCGATTGTCTCGAACGTTTAAACTAAGGCCGCTTTCTCACTTTTTTCCGGTAGGTGGTTTTGACCCTTTTACGCGCGCAGTCAACGTACCACTTCGCTATTCTTTTCAAAAAGTTATCACGAGAGCGTTGACCGGCGGGCCAGTCAGCGCCGTAGCACGGAGCACTGACTGTGGAGAGCAAGTCGTCTGCTTCTTGCGCAGGGGTTGCGGTGACGTCAGGACGAGGCCGAGCTCTGATTGGCTATGACTGAAAGGATAGGGGATACACCTCAATGCTAGACGCTCGAGATCTACCCACTATTTATTTTTTCTATCAGCCAATAAGAGCTTGGCGTTCTGACATCATCGCTCCGCATAAGGTAGGGAAAGCCGAGCAGCGCCAACCTCCTCAGTTCGCAATTCTGGTGCTGGCTCGTCCCGCCAATGTTCGTCGCAACCCTGCGTTTTAAAGCTCAGAGTGTGTCATATGGCCCAGTCGTTGTTAAAGTTTGGCGATTTCCATGGCCGAACTCATAAAGACGAGCGGGAACCTAAATATCCACCGAGGCACTGACGGTACTCGCGCACGAACCGAGCAGACAAGCACTGTGCTCGCGTCCAAACCGAAGTCACATTTGGCTCCAGTGTATCGAGGTTGGAGATGAACCCACGGGCTTAGGTAGGCAAGTCATTTGCTGCATAGGTGTTTAGATAACGGGAAGCTAGTATGTCCCGAAATGTGTTTGATTTTTCCGCTCTAGGTGAGAACTTTAGCCAGTGCACTAGAGACGCTAGCGGTTCCTTTAACGTGCATGACGATGCAGTGAGTGGAGCGACCGTCAGTACGAGGCTCATCCAGATCGAAACAGCAGGGGCGGAAGTCGAACCCGGAACCCCGGAGTTCTGCAGGGCTTAGGTGAAATTTACTAATTGTCCAGGCATGGGGCTGAACACCTCGCTAAAAATCAAGAATTTCAAAAGAAAGAAAAAAAAAAAAGAATTGATTACTCCTATCAGGTTTCTCCCCAGGAATTTCTGAGGTGTGGACATTACCCGGGGGAGGGGGAGGGGGGGGGGTTCGTCGCGTCTGTTTATTGCCATTACCCCTGCGTGGTTTATTGCGTTTAGTCTGTCAGTAGCCATGAAAATAAAGACATATGCATACAGAATACATGATACAACGAGGCGGAGTCTGGTCGGTTGGCGTGTCTTGCATAGTCTAGCTCGCTTACTTGAGCCAGGTAGTCCATCGCGGAGTTCCAGTCGAATCCGGACTCGGACTCGAGTCCCAAAAGGCGCGTCCGGGATGCGTATGATTCGCCCTCGCTATCGTAGTTGTACCGGTACCGGCTCGGCACGCTGTGCCAGGCCACCAGGAAGTTGACGTCGCGGTCGGCGGCGGCCTGGGTGTGCCGCAGTCCCATCGCGTGGCCCAGCAGGTGCGCGTAGTGCTGGATGCAAATATCCCAAAAGCAATCGAGAATACTTAACTGCTTGCTTTGAAAAAGGCTAGTGTCGGTAAATAGGACTTCGAGCCAGTAAAGAGTTTTAGCAGACCGTTCCGATAACGTCTATAAACGATACCCGCAGCGGCGTAGACTTTCCATTTTCCTAGTTTATTTTAGGGGGTACATTTTACAGCGTATGTATATCGCCATGTGTCTGTCGCTGTGTGCGTTATTTTCTTTACATGCCACTACTAGAAGCCGATTACATGGCACGTAAACAGCATCTCGGTAAGAATCATGACCCAGGGGCTCTGCCCCCCCCCCCCCGGATCTCACCAGGGGGGGTACGAGCCCCGATGCCTCCCCGTAGTCTACGCCTATGGATACCCGTATCGGGTGTCGTTATCAAAGTATCCTCCGGCGCCTTTGCACATGCGTTATCGGGTGTCGCGATATCGGGGTTATCGGAACAATCTACTAAAACTCTCTAAAATTCGTTACACAGAGGATTTGTAAACTTCTAGATTTATAAGTGTGAAAGGTGCCGAGCTGCTTCTGTTAGCCAATTCAAAAATTATGAGATGGCAATTTCATATAATTGATATTACACGAGCGAATACTTTAACCGTAACCAAACTTTCTGTGGCACCTAGAAAAACGAATGAACGAGCGTGCGTAGCTTTGACTGCACTGCTTCAGAAAGTTTTTTCCCCCGGTGTCTGTCCTTTCATAATTGGAGTAGAACTGCTACATCGTGTTCTGTGGTATCCGTTCATTGATTAGAACGGAGAAATGCCATGCATCATTTCTTACACTCCCGAGTGCTTCTTTATAAACAGAGTATACCACTAACTAAAGCTGGCCTCTGCTCACACGTTTCTTCACAAATGGAGCTTAAATTCAGCTAATAAAAGTTAAAAAACTTAAATATTTGAACAATTGGCATTTTAGAACAATCGGACACAGCGATCTGCGTCGGCGTAGAGAGCATGACTGACTCGGTAGACTGGCGAGCATTTTGTATATATTGCGTCGTCACTTACATTAAGCATCAGAATTGAATTGCGTCGAATGTTCGACAATAAATAGCTCGTATTATAGCCTCCTCTATACTGACAAAGCCTGGAAGATCGTCACGTGACGCGGCCGCCGAAAGTGAAAAGGTAGAGCGGCAGACAAGAGTCTTGTAACGGGCGCCCCGCTGCGGCGAGACGCCGAAACAGACTTGTCCCGAGCGATGGAATGTCCGCTCGTGCTTCTCGCGTTCCTCGGGCCACCGCTTCTTTTCTCGTCGGGTTTGAAAACGATGTTTCGAGTCCTCGCCACTGCAAAAGCTGTGCGCTGAATACCAGACTCCCCAAGAAATGTCCTGTGCTACCAGATCCTCGCGCTCCAAATCTGCGACCAAGCAATCGATGGCTCCGTCATCGAACTGCCAGGCTTCGTGAGTATAGTGGAGGCTATGCTCGTATTCACTGGGCGTCTTATTTGAGCGCGGGGTTCACATCGCATGCTCAGGACGATCTCCCACTTACCTTCTCAAAATAACTAAAATCTTGGTGGTGTGGAATGCACGTTACGGAAGCGTTGTGAAAGTTCACCGTAAGCTAGCGCTTAGCAGAAACGTACTCAAATATGGCCGCCAGAGAATACTAAAGTCACTGGATCCTGAGAAAGTAGCGGCATTACCTTCCCTGCCTGCTATCGGACACCAACAGATACCAACATACAGACGACCGAACCTCGCAATGTGATCGGTCTCTGTTGCCATGGCAATTGCCATTTCGGTCCATTCAAATCTTCGAAGGTTCGAACGCAAAAAAGCCTCCGATCAGTCGTTACGTCATACTATAGGACCGGGGTCTCAAACACGCGCCCCTTTACTCTCATGGGATGCGACCCGCAAGCCTCCCGCGGATTCGAGCCCCCGTTCCCATGCCTCGAGCGCCATTAATAATAGTTCTGTATTGTCGATTCATTTTCGCTCGAAAAAGAACTCTGCTCATATAACATGTTCACACAATTTGTACTATTCTGTTTTCTTTTCGACGGAGTACTACTTCGCCTAAAAATTTGCTTCTCGGCCCTTTCTCGTGTAAATCAACCGGAACGGCACTACCACTACCAGGCCACTAGTGCAAGCTCTTTGTTCAGGGTGGCACGTCGGCTGCACAAGCTCTTGCTCAGCAGGAACAACTGCCGAAGATAAAGCTATGAGCTTGGGCTTCTAGCTGACAGAAATACATTTAAAATGGAAGTGTTTTCTTATAATGCTGCTATAATAATCTTGAGGAAAAAAACCAAAAAAACTGCCATATGAAGATATGTATATGTTTTATGGCTGTTGAGCCTTGTGATTTGTGCGACGGGTCAAAGACGGTATGCTTGTTCTCAATCTATGAAAACTGCCAGCACGTTCGTGTTTTAAATCTTTTTATAACATCAGGCGTGGGCCCAAAGTAGTCATATATACAAATGAAAGCTAAAGATGGCAAAACGGTGAGCTTACAAAAAGTAGAAAGCACAAGGTTCCTTCTCTCGAAAACCTCTGGGGTGTTACTGGGACATTTGACGTTTGCAGCGTGAAAAAACACAGCTGTTTGTTTGTTTATATGTTTGTCCCAAAATAGCAAAACATTGTCCCGAAAGGACGAGCGCCAACGGAGAGGGGGGGGGGGGGGGGGGTTCCTTGGCCCTCGTTCTTTTTGGGGTGAGCAATCTGGCCCCCAACCGTGAATAAGTTTGAGACCCCTGCAGGATCTTTCGACCGCCAAGCGCGTGTCGCTCCTGTGGGCAGCGCGTGCAGTGGCAAGCTTGCCAGGTGTATTCACCCGCATTGACACCAGTCTCGACGTCTCTTTCTGACCTTTTTGAAAATAGCCAGCGTGCGCGTGCATAGCTTTGATAGGCGCCGAAGATGTGGTACTTCAGCGGCACTTTGAAAATGAATTTCTGCAGCCTGCGTGCACCAAATTTAAAAATAATCTCGACATTCGTAATCCTTGAGGCCAGATGAAGACGATTTAGGTGTTTTTCTTTAAATACAGAACCGCTTCAGTTTCCCTTTAAGTTGCCTGTCAAGATTAGCGGCGAGATGTTTTGGTGGCGTCCTCCTATGGTTCCCCCTTGTGACGTCAATACCTTGCGAACAACAAGTTCGATGGTGTTTGTAAATAGCATGGTGGAAGCCTGAAATTATTGCGCTCTCAAAGCAACACTGCCAACACCGTCGAAATTAAAGTTCTTTCATTCCTCTTATTTCCGTCGATGGTATACCCTTTCCGACGTCATAGTCAGCTTTTGGGCCAATCGTGGAAGGCCGACCACAGTGACGCTTTCGGTCGCGCACGTCGCCAATAGAGAGAAGGCGAGTGCGCAGCCATTGGTATCGAGGACAAGAGTAATGCTCCTTTTTAACCTCCGCTGGATTCACAAAAAATTGAATTTCTCAGAATAGACTATTTGAACGAAAACTATGTCATTGGACGTCTTTTGTGAAGTGCCGCTGGAGTGTGTGATGCAACGCACCGTGTCAGGGAAATAGGTGCTGGGCACTGCGATCCTCTGCCTGCCCCCTTGCTTGCCCAGGTAGGAGTACGCCCTGTGGAAGCAGAGGCAACATAACTCCACGAGGCACGACATTTAAACGTGAGATTGGTCCACGACTGTCGCCATCTCTAATTAAAATTTCTCTAACGACGAAGACGAATTTTTCTTCTTTTTTTTTTTTACTTTGCGCAAGCGATAATGCTTGAATATATGTGTCCCGACAATAACTATCTGATTTAGCTACTTTTTAAACTTGTTTTTATAATAAAAGCTAATTATACGAGGAAACTGTGGAAGGTGCTGCACAATTCGTTCACCTAACAAAACTCTAGGTGGGAAAACTAGAACCAAGGGTAGGAACTTTTTAATATCTAGCATTTTCGTGTTGTTTTGAAGCGCCAGAGACATGCACGACAAGACGTCAGACGGTTCGTACGACGCCTCAGAAAAATGTCTCGATCTGGCCGAGGGCCGGACTATCATGGCGTCACACTCGTTCACGTGACGCCCTGACTGGTCGGCACTTAGCCGGATCGGGCCATCTTTCTGACCCGTCGAATGACCTGTCGGGCGTAATGTCCAGCTTGTGTGTGATGTTTTACAGGCTATATTAGATTTGAACATGACGATGGTCCGGTAAAAACGGGGCATATCACGCGGAAAGAGGCAGAGAAAACTTACCAGTGAGCCCGTACGAAGTTTACGTAATCTGAAGTGTGGACAGCCTTGCGTAGCTCGTGAAATCGAACGCACGTGCTCTTCTCCCACTGCTTCATGGCACTTCGGATTTGATCCGCAAACTGTGTAACTGAAGATAAAATGGACGTGAAGAACGAAAAAAAAAAGATTTCAGAAACATCGTTTTATATGAGCAAGCATGGTTTCCACTCAATCGCACTGTTCTTTGACTGTGATGAGAGACGTTTTCGCTATTCCCTTTAAAGGTGAGCTCCGGCGGTTTTATGAGCTATCTAAACAAAGCGCAATTTCGAAATGCACATGCTTTGATCTTCCCGACTGATATTTAATATCTCTAAATAAAAAAAATCGCTATTGAGAAAACGGCAAATAAGGGTTATGCCAAGGTTATGCCCAAAACCGACATTCAAATATTTCCACGGTCCCCAGGGTGAAGTGACATGTTGTATAACAAGTTGAAAGTCGAGCCGTCAGTCTAAAAAACGCATTATTTTTTGCTTTTCTTGTTTCTTTTTTTAGCTTGCGCGATTTATTTAGTCTTTATTTCACACCATTGAACTTCTTGTAACCCGTCGAGAACAAGCCGTACTGCCCCCACATTAAAACATTTGTCGTCACGCTTTCAGTGTTGCAAGCAGAACCTTCCAGCATCCAAGACACAATTTTAAAACATAATAACGAAAAGAAAATGTACTGTTACTTGAAATTAGGCTTACTAGTTTAGATCTGTCTATTAATGTGTACACCAATTTTGATGCAAATCAGTGACTACAAAAACTTCATCGAAGTTCCTCCCCAAGGTGAAACACCACCCTTGATCAGTGTGAGACGGCGATGAGATATCGCTTCCAGACCTGTACATCAATGCAATAAATCGCGTGTGGTGGCGCTTGGATACAGTCTGGTATTTTTTTATACCTTGAATTTACATGCCATTTCAGTAAATACCTCTTAGAATTAATCCTTGACGTTCATAACCTACCAAACATGATCTTTTTTCTTTAACTTATTTGCGGAATCTAGACAATTCCGCAAATATTTACTTACATACCCGTTTTACGCGGTCGTCGCCATCATGAATGGCGGAACTTTTTTGTGGTAAAAAAACATTGCCCCTGCTCTCGTCACACCATTCGAAAGTGTTCATGTTTTAGGCATACAGGTATCACTTTCTAGTTTTCTCTTGTCTATATTTTTATATTTTTTCAGTGATATATATTCAACACATTTTTGTTTAAAGTGAGTAACCGAAGATGGGCTATGCAGATCACTTCTATGCATAATTCGTGAGACATAAAGATGAAATGTATTGACAAATTATAATTTTCAATTCCCCAATAAAAACACACAGGCTACTTTTTTTATCAAGTATAAATTTAACAAAGATGAAAAAAAATTACCACGTTTTAATATGAAAATATCATATCTGATCGCGGCAATTCGGTGATATCTAATATTTTTGTTAAGAATCGCTACCATCAAAATTAAGAAAAGTAACAATTTCTATGGTTATAGGGTTATGCACAAAAGAACAGCAGGCGCTGCTTTCGGCAGTACGTGAACCTCATCTGTCTTATCCCATCTTGTTTGTGAACTTAATAGAAGTTTCGGTGGCGCACTTATCAGCAAATGCTTTAAGGGTATTTGCAAGTGCGTTTCATCAAGTACCAACAGTATCTAAGCTAGCAGCCACAGCACTTTGCAATACCTATAGCTGCCTCAGACGTGTATGGGGTGTTCAGACACCCGATTTTTCTGCGTTGTCGAATAAATTAACATTTGAACCCAACAACCATAATTTCTGCCATAAGTTCACAGTTATTCTGCACTCCACTACATAGCCAGGAAGAGAAACATGAAGGCTCTTCTTGACCTCCCCTTTTTCTCTTCAAGACCCCATTTTTTATACTCATACACACTTCTGTCGCCCCCTCTTGTCTCTAAAGGGTGCCAATGATGGGTGGGTTTCACCGCATATTACTCATAATTTTCTCCACCTGACACGTGCTCCATCCTCCTGCAGCCTCGACATAAGGGAATCGGATCCTTCTGCCGTCTTCCGTGGTTCTCCAAGCAATCAGTTATGAGTCTGGCGATTTACTGATGAACTCTGCTAGCATTCAGTATCTTGTGGTCCTTACCTTTTCTGCCGATCTTGTATGGAATGCTGGCGTTGGGCCAGAGGTAAGATCGTTCGTCTCCGGACTCATCTACGCCATAGAGTTGTCGCAGCTGCTTCTCCCCAATTCGGATGTCTCGCTGGTAAAGGTAGTCGCCGTTCGCCAGCCGATGGATGTTCTTCATCATGCTTGTGAACTGCGTGGTGCAACGCGTCGTGGCAGATATGTCCGAGGCATTATATAAATCGTGTGGGGCCCTAGGATGGGATCGTAAATTCGGCAGCGTACTTTGCGTCTATACGTCAACTTAGTCCCTTTAGTTTTTTTTTTAATTTTTTAAAAATATTGTTTACATAATAATTTTTTACTTTATGTTGACTGCCCGATCTCGAAACCAGCTCTAGCGCGATTTGTATATATATCTGAGATGATAGAATATGGCGGTCGCCAATGTCCCCGTGTGAACATGTGGAATCTGTACGAACACGTCGGTGTAGCGAATAGAGATATGAACGCGCTGAAAACGCCTTAGTACCGGCGTGCGGTGTTGTATCACTACCGTGCGGTGCAGCTTAGATACCCCAGGCTATCGGTTGTCACTGGATAAATTTATCATCTACAGCTTGAGCCGGTGCCGTCATTCTGTGGCAGACCAACCTAACGCTTATAAACACAGCGTCTGATTTGCTAGCTTTGCCTCGCTTGCAGTCGGGATACATTAGATCGTTTCGCCCTTATCCGTGACCGAAGCGCAATGTCTGAGACCAAACTGATGGCTTCAGGCACGGCCGGACTGGAAGCGCGCGCTCTCTTTCTCTTCTTACGGCCTCTGCAATCGCCCGGAAGTCAATGGCATTTTTTCTCCGTATGTAGTTCACTTGCTTGCCGCCAGGGCCGCAACCACCTCGCCCCACTTCACCCCACTCGGAGAGTCCTTTCGAGCTGCTTTGCGCTGGTGTTCGAGCTTCGTAGGTTGTTGTTTTGGCAACGGTTTATTGAACTTCGCTCCGATTTAAGTCATGCAAGGGCTATCACAGCAGCCCTTGATCACATTGTCAAAGAAAAGGCCCCTTCTAAGCAAATACAGATGTCAGACACTGGAACTGAGCAGTTGGCAGCGGCTGTGCCCGACTTGGTTACCACTGACCTGAAAAAACTGAAAGAGCCTTGTGCTCCATCTCCCTCCGTGACATACTCTGGTCTGGTGTACGTCGGTGGCTATCTGGTGAAACTCATTGGTGAGTTTGGGTGCGCCGCCTGTGTTATGCTGTTCACTACGAGTAACAGAGGTGATCTTTTGTTCGTCTTATTGCAAGGCCAGATTAACAGCGGACTTCATTATTTAGATCCTAGGTTCCTCGCACTTCTGGACAACAATGTTGCTTTTTTATTTTTAAAGGCTGTTAAGCAACTTCCGTGTACAAATGTGCACGAAGTTCTGCAACTACTCATTGCACCCTTTCTTGAAGACGCGCCAATTTTAAGTTGCCCAGAGGGCATTGACAACAGTCACTTAAAACGCTTGGCAGGTTTAATTTGCAACAAGTTCCTCAGAATACTTCTCATTAACCATGCAAAGACGGTCCCGGACAGAAACGAAAAATCAGCTGGACATGTGCACAAGCCCTCGAGGAAACACTTTAGGCTGTAATATGCACTGTGCGAAAATTGTGCAGACCACTACACCCTCGTCCAGAGCAGCTGACCGACTTCATGTGCGGCCTATGAAGTGATGATGCAGACCACGGCAATTGATAGATTGGGCCTGCTTACATTTCACGAGATTTTACGAATTTTTTGTCATTTAAACTTCCTCCACGTATAAGGGGTCCGTCTCCTTCTGTTCTTGAGTTGCAACAGAAGTCCTGGAGGTAAAGACGAGTATAGTTTTTCCGCAATTGCATTCGCTGTCTCTACTTACTTCTTTTTACTCCCGAATCTCTCGGAGATGTGCGTCAAATATTCACCGTTTTGGCTCATCTGAAGCGCATTAGATAGTGGCTGAAGGTCTAAACGTAAGAATCCGGTGTCAAAGGCTATAAAAATCTCGGCCGCAAGTTGCGACAGCGCTGAGATACACTGTCAGACGCGCTCTGTGCAAACGGCAAAGGGTATCCCATGGGTGAGGTGACAGCGCCCCCCGCGAAATGCGGCGGGAGGTGTTGATTGCCCCATTTGCAAAGGCCGTAAGAAGAGAACGAGAGCGCGCGCTTCCAGTCCGGCCGTGCTTCAGGAAGGTTGCCGTGTGCGCTAGATTGCGCAGGCAGTTGGACGACCCCGAAACGACTAGAAGTGTCACTGACTTTTTCGGCTTGGGTAACATGCTTTTACAAGCTTCCAAGAGCTGCCCGCATGTGCACGCCGAACGTATTGACAGACGGGAAGTAACGGTATGATTCTTTTTTAATGATTGTAACACGGTGCAGTAATCGTAGTGTTGAAAGTAATCCCCTCAAAACAATACAGCAAAAATTAATACATCTGGTCTATTGTTTTCTCTACTCAGTATTTTTTAAAGCTGAAATGAAGACGAAAATTAGTTGAGACGTTGCTAGACGTTGCTGTGTATTGTTATTGCCACATTTAGAAAGGAAAGAACTTACTCGATTCAAGTCGACAAATGAAAGTCTGTTGGCAGGATTTACGCATGAGAGACCCAAATACATTTGTGTTCAACATTGAGGAATAGTGGGTGCGCTTGGTGCCCACGGCCCAGACTGACTTCCGTACTTGATAATTTCTAATCGCAATAAATGTGTCTTAATCTCGAGAGATAGGGCCGGCTTGCACCAGAACTCCGAACGCCATCTTAGATAACCCGTGAAGTTAAAAACGCCCAGGAAAAAAAGACTTTGAACTAAAATTCTTACCTTTCTTTCATCACTTCTCGAATCGATCTTGAATTCCAATTTTTCAATCGCTTCTTCTTCAGAAGATCCTGCGCTTTCCTCCGTTGTCGTTTCGAGGGCTGGAACTGTCTGCGTAGAGAATAAATTTGACTCACTCAGCAACATCAATTTCCTCTATTTGAAGAAATAAAAACAGCAATAGCTTTTGAATAAAAAAGTTTTACCAACTTCACTTACTGGCGAGATGTTAGTTGGTGCAGTAGGTACGTTGTCCGTCGAGCTCCCATATTCGCCGAGTGTCGTCGAGACCTAAATATAATTGAAGAACGTACGAAGTTAGGAATAATCATATCTCCAGCACACGTATGCGGTTAGGTCAACGATCCTCAACTTACATAACTTCGTGATTTTGCGCTCGTGACACCAGCCAGGACGAGGAGGATCCCCGGTAAAAGTATCATCTTCTGCACCATGTGTAAGATCCGGAGAACTTCCTACGACCACACAATAACAGTAGACGTGAGGGACTTAACATTGACAGTTTACCAACAAGTCGCACGAACGTGAGCCTGAGCAGAGCAGGCGCAATAACCGAAAAGAACCAAAGTTCCGAGAGACCTTTCCAAAAATCGCCTTCTGCGCGCTGCCATCTTTGTCTGCTGGGCTGTGGAAGGCCTTCTGAGCATGCGCCATAGCTCTGTTGTTTGGCATATCAGACGCGGCACATCGGTCCACAGCTCAGTGACTCAGCATTTTTCCCCCTCGGGTGATAAGCGCTGGATAGGTCTATGCGGAGAGCAAGTCGTCTGCTTCTTGCACAAGAGTTGAGGTGACATCAGAAAACCGCCGAGCTCCTGAATGAAAGATAGTGGGTAGACCTCAAAGCAAGCTGCCTCAAGGTCTACCAACTATCCTTCATTCAGAACCAATGAGAGCTCGGCGGTAGGGTGGAAAGCTGGGCTAGTTGGTAGTTATTCATCTTGGAGCGCTCGTCCGTCGTTTGTGTTTCTTACTCTGTCCTCGTCTTTTGTGCGCCTTTAAAACCAAGATGAGAGCTCAGCGTTCTGACATCACCACAACTCCGGCGCAAGAAGCAGACGAACTTGCGCTCCGCATAGTCAGAGTACAAACAAAAAGCAAGAGCAGACGGAAGGCTCACTTAAACTAAAAACATAATTAAAGCAAGAAAAAAAAAAGTGCAGGATCATGGCACATTTACAGGAGTAATTGGTTTAGCCGGTGAACGCAGAAAGACGACGACGACCACCGTGACGATGCACTTTTATCGCTGCTTGATTGGCTCCCTCGGGTTGTAGCGTCGGCTCCGCTCGGGCTTAGCGTGAAACCGAGTATGGGGAGTATTCAATGGCGGCCATGGCTGTGTTGCGCTATAGCTGCTCAGCGCGTGCTGACGTCAAGCTCTTTTGCAGCACCCTTCCGACGGCGTCATGATGGCCAATCTTGGGAATTCATGTAGGTGTAAACTCGCCCCGAGCATGCCCGGTAAACAGTGCACTCAAATATGGCGTCCACGGAATACCCCGTATAGAAACACCACGTCCTTTACCATTGCCGCTTCGAAACGTCCTCGCAATGCCAACTCAGATCCGGATAGGGCAAGTAAGGGAGTACTGACGCACATTCCCCTCCTCGCCCCTTGATATGTAAAGTGCCTCCGAAATTTATCGTGTATTCCGGATTCCCTTGCCTTCCAGTTTACCCCGTAGTTACGCAATGCATGGCATCTAGCCCACGTATATACTGTGCTACGGGCCGCCGTTCTAAAACTCGGCCACTGCGCTTGCCGAGGTCTCGCATTGGTGTCACGTGAGTGTAAACAGGACGGATGCCCATGGCTGCGTGTACATGAACGCGACTTTAGCGTATCCAATCACGATTTGACGGTTGTGATTGGGTGGAAGAAGAGAAAACAAGGGGACTAGGCGTGTATGCTTGGTCCCCCCTTTGTTCGTTGCACTACGGTCGCGAGATTAGTAAAACTGGAGTAAAAGAAATAAGAAAAAGAGCGACACCACTCTATACAAGGCTTGTACTTGACGTCAATCCGCTCCTCTTTCTGGTGGCTAGAAGCGCCTCGTTAACGCAGCGGGAGCTACGCTCTCCCGCGTCCTTTCCTTCATTATGTCTGACTAAGTGACGTCATTGCAAGCTTTATATAGGCCAAGTGGACTAGCGTAAACCAGAGCCGTATATGTTTGGCCATGATGAGGAGGCGCCATTGGCCGAATGCGGGCTGGGCGTGTTCCAGAGAGTCTTCACAAATTCGAATGTGGCCAAACAGAAGCGGGAAATAATACCGTGGTGGTGGTCGCGAGAAACAAATTTAATAAGTGCGTCGGAGTAACTCTCGGTGACTGAAAATATGGTGCATGTGATGTTTCAATCACGGTCATCTAAAATCATGGTGAAAGAGTGCGACTAGCGGAACGATCGACATAATACGTACGCCAGGCGCCGAGGGCCGGGAATCTGCCGTCCGAGCGGTCACACCCTGTCCAAGCAAAAGAGAGTTCGAGCGGCACATTAATTTCTTCCATCTTTTTGCATAATCATGATCGAAACATCACGCGCACCCTATTCTCAACAAAGAAGGGTCACTACATTTAACTCTTACGCTGGTTTAAAACGATTAAAACTGTTTCTTGCTACCACCACTAGGGGATTCTTTTCGGCTTCTGGTTGCCCAAGAGAGCATGCCAAGCCCTCTTTCTGCGTCTGGTGCACGCCCTGGCTCTGCCCGCGCCTCCCATGGACCAAGCTCTCTATACAAGGCTCTGGCACAAACCAACTCGAAGCACGTGGAGCGCCAGCTCGTGCTGCAGAACCTAGGGCCCTGGGTTCAGTCCCCACCCCTGCCCGTTTCGATCTGGATGAGCATTGCACCGGCGTGCGGTCGTGTATCGCCCTTTTGTGGTTCACGTTAGAGACCCAAGACTAGCGGTTGTACCGCACTGGCTAAATTGCTCAACGACAGCTGAGAAACAATTCGCCCGTTAAGGCAGACTAACTTTAGGCTGTACAAACACAAAACACAATTTTTTCTTCATGATATCTCTAAGGGATACTACAACGAAATTCGGAAGCTTATTTGTTCAAGGGAGCAGTATCACATCGGACACCGCATTCTTTTGGTGAAAAAGCACAAAAAGGAATATTAAAACAAATAAAACGATTAGCAAATCAGACCTGGTGGACGTCGCTAAAGCCTCGTTTGTAACGTCCGTCTAGAAACGACAGGTATAATGACGACGCCTCTCTCGCCTAGTACTATAGCCTCACTTGCGCGCGAACGTAGCTTTGGCAAGCTTCACATGACATCGGCCAGATACCCTGCTTGCAAACGTCTTGCCTTGCAAAAAGCGTAGCCCCCCGACTGTGCCATGGCGTCAGCGTGAACAAACATAGCGATGCCCATGGAAGAAAGCCACTGACAGCTGAAAGAAAAAACGCGGGGCGGGACTTATTACGTTTATGCTTCTTGCTCTAATTCGTTCTCCGACGCTGTGTCGAAGAACGAATCAGTGACTTTAGGTGATAGACCCCTTTCTAAAGCCTTCCTTCCGCTGCAAGCTGTGGAATCCCTCTACAATGGAGGACACAAAGGACGTGAACACATGGTACACACAAACTAAAACCGAAACGTCGGGGCGTGCACTTTCTGCGTTTGGTTTGATTAGAAGGCCAAAACAGATCTTCAGCAATATGTCATGAACGCGGTGAAGTTACGCTTTCGGCGCTGTTCGATTGGCTTGTCGCCGCCTAGAGTTGGCTGCACTCAGACATTTGATGAACCCATGTATAGAAATGTTATTAATTCCATTTCCTTGCCATCTCATAAGATGAGATGACACGCACGTTCCTCTGTGTCGGTCGTTCCGCTATTATGGAATAGGTTTCAAGCTCCTAATAATTGGCACCTGACTTCAGAAAGCCACCGAGACGTGGGTCCGGCCATATACTGATTGTGTACGAGCGCGACGAACACAAATGTATTCAACGCGTCTGCATAATGGCGCGTTTACAATTACAGATTCGCGGGCGGATCCGCCCAGGCGGAAAGTGGACTTTGGAGCCGGGTGTCGAAATCGACTCGTCGCTGGCGGAAAGTCTGGATATGAGCTCAGGACTGCTCCAGACTCCAGAAATAGTCTGACCAACACGCCCCAAGCCAGCCTCGCTAAACGCTGCCCGACCGGTGTCCTGGCCAGGCCACGGTCTATATGCATTGCTCAAGAAATTCAGGAGTCTGTCGCGCCCAACCTGGATATAATTAGGGGAGGGGGGGGGGGGGGGTGTTGGAAGGGGGTGGTCTTAGATTTATATAAATTGCTCAAGAATTTTTTTTTTTTTAGGGGGGGGGGGAACGCGTTTAACTTAACCTGGGGAGATAATTGGGGGGAAGGGGGGGTGAGGGGGTGTGCAAATCACTGCACCAAACTCGTCCTTTGCAACTCTTCCTAACCAGACAGGATCGCAAATATTAAGGCTAATTCTGCGGTCCCACGGGGTTATATCCGCAGCTGAAATATTTAGCCGCTAATAGCTCGCGATCCAAGAGTGCTGACAGCATCATAAAACATTGCTTTGATTGCAGGACCCGCTCAGTGCAACCCAGAAAATGAACCATGTCGAAAACCGTACTGTCAAAAATGGTTTCTCGAAAAGTTTACGCAAAAAAGAGCCATTGATCTATGATTATAGGGACGAATTTGGGAAGGGAGAGCTGTAGACCTGAGGATGTTGAGGGCCCCAATGCTATTACTGCGCCACCTCCTAAAGCTGGGGTCACACATTACGCATCCTACGAATACAGTTTGCAGACAAACTTTAATTCCGAGCACCACAACATCCCTGCTTTGTATGTCGCACAATAACCAATCCAAGAAATAGCTAGGAACCCGGCTTATGAAACACGGATGCGTCAGTGAGTCGCGTTCGATCGATGTCTGCAGTCTGTTTTTTTGTCTTTTGTATAAGCAGCCTGACACCGGCCTGACTTGGGCATGACATGCTAGCTTACAAAAGTAAGTTGCGAGGGCCTGGAGCTGTGCCAGTTGGTTAAACATACTTCTGAAAGTTTCCAGCGGAACGTAGAAAAAACAAAGAGAGGGAGAAAAAAAACAAAAACAAAAACAAAAAAAAAACAGACACACAGCTTTTCAGATTTAGTTACAAAAATATTCGCAATTGTTAAGCTTCAAGAAGTATTTTTCATATTTGAGGATGCGTTTATTGCCAGTATTACTATACATAAAGTAAGATTGCATAAACTGCCTTTAAACAACAACTTAAAACCATCTGTGAACTTTGTGCTGTACTTCTAGCTCCCATCAACCATCACAGACTGAGAGGAAATCGCTGAGGGCTTCGACACAGAGTGGAATTTTCCTCGTTGTGTTGGGGCCGTTGACGGGAAACACGTACAGATCAAAGCCCCTGCCGATTCTAGAAGCTTGTACTATTACTACAAGGT